TGGAAAAATCAGCCCCTCATCTCAGAGCTCAGGAGCTGGATGGCACAACAAGGTATCTGAAAGGTGACCTGGGAGAACTTCATGTTTCACCCTCTACTCTCAGCAGAACTGCAGCATTAATGGGTACATGACATGACAACTGCTGAAGCAGTACCAAGAAGGATTCAGAGGTTCAGTTCATACAGAAAACAGATTTTGCATTTAAACATTGTTCATAAAACATTTGAAGGCTGTGCCCAAAGCCCTGCACCGAGAAGATCAAACCTGGGCTGTGCCAGACAGGACCCCAGAGACATTAAAAGGTGAAACCTATTGAGCTGCCACCCCTAAACTGACTCCTCAGTGTGATAGGAAAGCTCAAACAGCACAGCTGATGGGTTAGTGCCAGAAATGATGACATCAAGGTTTTCCACAGAACTCTCAACATCTCAGCTTTGCAGGGCAGATGTGACCACACATCCGTGGCACGCTGAATCCTGTGACAAACTTTTTCCCCGCTCCCTGGAGCAGGAAATGAAACCAAAACAAATAGATTCCTCATGCAGAGGAGGACGTGAAATACAGACAATCCTCAAAATATTTCTGCAGCCCACAAAGCCCAGCTGTTTGTGCCAAAGGAAGAGCCCTAATGGACCCATTTCAGCCTTGCTGCTGTTACAAACGAAGATGTGCTCATGACTGGCTGTTCTTGTAAAGGACTGCAAGTGGAGGCAGCATTTCACCGAGCTACTTAAACCAGTCTGGTGAAAACACACCTATCTGCACATGAAATGAATCTCCTTCCAGTTTCCAGAAGCCTTGTTCACCTGTCAGCACTGATCTGAGGCGTGTGTGTGTGATTTAACAGTTTACACAGTTGTTCTGCTACTCGGGAGCACAACAAAGCCAGCAGGAAGTGACTGCTGAGCTCAGGAACTGCTTGCACTCAGGAATTCAGACACAGCCACTTTCTCGAGTGAGTGTGGAATTCCCAACAGGGTGTTCTGCTGCAGTCTGGATTGCTACAGAGCAAAGCTGAAGTGTGCTAGACATTAAACTCTCCATGTCATTTCCCACAGAAGGGGAAAACTGGGAATCCCAGCAGAAAGGAAAACTACTCTCTTCAACCATTAAAAGGTGACCATAACACCTTCTGCCTGGAGAATTTAACGTCCTAGACATTAAATTCTCCATGTCATTTCCCACAGAAGGCGAAAACTGGAAATCCCAGCAGAAAGGAAAACTACTCTCTTCAACCATTAAATAGTGACCATAACACCTTCTGCCTGTGGAAGGGGATCTCCGTTACACTACTTCCTTACAAATTTTCCAAAAGTCCTACTTTACAATAAAAGAAACGCTTGGCAATTTCACTGCTGCTTTTAAAAAGCTACAATAAAATCCAGCGTGGTAAACTTTGACTCGCTGATAACGCTAGTAAGTATCAAGAGGAATTACTCAGGCAGGATTTCCTACCCGTGTTCCCACCACACCTGCGCTCTCAGCTGCACCAGCGGCAGCAACAGCAGAAATATTGCTGTAAAAACCCATTTTATTCTTCAGTGGCCGCTGAGCATGATCACTGATAACTGACATAAGTTTTTTTTAGAGGGATATCTGGAAGCTGACAGGCTGTCCATCAACAGCAGCAGCAGCAGCGGCAGAACCCTCTGGCCTGGCCCACCCCACGTACCAGGACGCGTGTCCGGGCTCTCCAGGCTCGTGTGGATGGCCACGGAGCCGGGCCCGGGGACAGCAACCCGCAGCAGCACCCCGAGGTTCCCCCGGCGCCGATCAGCCCCCTGCCCGGACAGGTGGATCCCCGGAGGGATCCCCATCCCCGGCAGTGCCCGAGGCCGGGCTGGACGGCTCAGCCCGCTCTGTTGGAAGGTGTCCCTGCCCGTGGCAGGGGCTGGAACGGGACGGTCCCCAAGGTTCCTCCCCGCCCGAGCCGCTCCCGATCCCCGCGGCTCCCGGCCGCTCTCACCTCCTCGCTCTCGCCGCGGGATCCGGCCGCCAGCCGGGACACGCTCTCCAGCACCTCGCAGAACTGCTCCAGGCTCACGGCCTCGTCGCCGCGGCTCAGCCGCTCCTCCAGCCATCGCACCAGCGCGCTGTGGTGCCGCGACACGAGCGGCTCGGGCAGGGCCGCCTCCCGCAGCCGCGCCGTGGCCTCCCGCAGCCGGGCCTGCTCCAGCAGCACCTCGGCCGGCGGCAGCGCCGGAGCGGCCGCGCCGGCTTGGGGCGCGCCGGCCGCCCCCTCCATGCCCTCTTCGGCGCCCTCCTCCTCCTCCTCGCTGCTGTGGCTCGCCGCCGTCCCCATGAGCCGCTCGGGAGCCGCTCGCAGCCGCCGCCGCCGGTGCCGCCGCCGCTCCCGCCGGTCCCCGCCCGGTCCGGCCCGCCTTAGTCAGCAACTTCCCGCCCGCCGCACCTGTCAGCGCGGGGCCGCCACACCGCCGCAAAGCGCCACCGCGCCACACCGCCGCAAAGCGCCACACCGCCGCAAAGCGCCGCTGCTGCAAAGGCCGGCCCGGCGGTTCCCGGGACAGGGACGGGGCCGGTGAGGGGACACGGGGGGACAGCGAGGGCTGGGGACAGCGATCCCGGGGAAAGAGCGGCACCTGAGCCCGGTTCTGTGGACAAAACTGAGGGGGAGCTCATGAATTCATAGATGTATTTCCAAGGGGTGCCAGTAGGGCGGTGCCAGACTCGCTTCAGTGGTGCCCAGTGACAGGATGAAGAGTAAAGGCCACACGACAAATTTCACCTCAACATGAAAAAAACTCCTTGACATGAGTGTGGCAGAGCACTGGGACAGACTTGTGGAGGGAGAGCACGGAGTGTCTCTCTCTGGATGTGAAAAATGTGTATTTTATGATTGTGTGGGGGCTTGAATATATGTAATGTTATGGAGGGAGTCCCTGTTAAGATCTATGTATTGTAAGATCTATGTATTAAATAAGTGTGTCCTTATGGAGAGAGTCCCTGTAAGATCTATGTGTGGGTCCTAGTTACTCCAAACGAGCTACAGCTGTGAAGTCCTTAGTTGGGCAGCAGCTGTAGCTTGTGAAGGTAACTGGAATAAATAGGGGTGGGTCGAGAGCTCAGGAGGAGCCCCTGAGAAGACACAGGGAGAGCTGTGCTGCAGAGGAGAACAGCTTGGTACAGTATGGGACTTGAGAAATATGAACTACAACAAGAATACAACATGATTGGTTTTTGCAAATATTCAAGTGAATGTTATATGTGTAGTGTTAGAAAGTAATGCACTATTAATTCTCTTAAGTACTGTGTTAAATATAGTTTTAGGTTATAAAAAATGTTAATATAGAAACTATGCTATGTAGGGTACTTTTTTTTAAAGAGAGGACTCACAGTGAGAGAGCAGCCACAGGACACCTGAATCTTTCAGAGAGAGAGAATTTATTGCCGCTTATCAGGAGAAATGAACTTCCTCCTGCCTTGAAGGGGCTGTTGGGATTCAGAGGAAGAAGTTGAAGATGACCAGACAGAATCCTGTGTTTTAATGGAGTTTATGCATCATGTATAAATATGCAACAGGCTATTGCTTTTAAGGGTTAATCCTTTGTTAATGGTTGTCCTTTTTTGGACTCCTGCTGCCCTGGAAAATGCCAAAGTCACCCGAACCCTCCTGTGTCACCTGCTCCAGGTGCCCCTGCCCTGGGCGGGTCCCAATGAGTGATCTCCACAGGGCACTGACAACAAGAGATTCTGTGTGAAAAGCAGCAATCACTTGTTTTTAAAATTTTAAAAGTTTAATAGTAATAAAATGGTTCTAAAAATAGTAATACAATTAGAGTAATAATAATTTGGACAATTTGGATTAGGACAATATAAGACAATAGAAACAAAGAGTTAGGGACAGTCCAGGTACCTCTTTCTGGGCAAAATAAGCCCAAAAAAGGACACAGGTGAACAGAGCATTAACCCTTAAAAACAACAGCTTGTTGCATATTCATACACCTCATACATGATGCATAAATTCCATTCAAACACAGGATTCTGTCTGGGCAGTGTCAACTTCTTCCTCATAAGCCCAACAGCATCATCCTGCCTGAGCGAGGCAGGAGGAAGTTCATTTCTCCTGATAACGGAGCAATAAATTCTCTTTTTCTGTAAGATTCAGGTGTTCTGTGGCTGCTATCTCAGTGTGAGTCCTTTCTTTAGGAAAAAAAGTATCCTACATAGCATAGGATATTCTATATCTATAGGATATTCTATATTCTAGCAGGGGTAGGAAATCCTGCCTGAGTAATTCCTCTTGATACTTACTAGCGTTATCAGCGAGTCCAAGTTTACCACGCTGGATTTTATTGTAGCTTTTTAAAAGCAGCAGTGAAATTTCTTGTATTGTAAAGTAGGACTTTTGGAAAACTTGTAAGGAAACAGTGCAACAGAGATTCCCTTCCACAGCCAGAAGGTGTTAAAGAATTCACTCCATGGCTGATTCACTCCTTGGCTGGGGGATTCACTCCTTCTATTTTAACATTTTGTTATAACCTAGAGCTATATTTACCACCCTACTTAAGAGAATTGATACAGCATTACCTTCTAACGCAACACATATAATATTCATTTTAATATTTGCGAAAAGCCAATCATAAAATACGCATTTTTCACATTCTGTGACTGTCCTTATGAACATCAGCATTAGTCAGAGGGCGGTGAGGGCTGGCCCAGAGCAGCTGTGGCCGCCCCGTTCCTGGAGTGTTTGAGGCGGGGTTGGCCGGGGTTCGGAGCAGTCCGGGCTGGTGGAAGGCGGTGTTCTTATGAGCAGAATTAAAAATGAGAAAGGTCTCGTGTTTATTTCAGTGTAAAACCATCTCCGTGTTTACTGCAGTGTAAAACCATGTCCTCCCACCCCGCACCGTTCCATGTCTCCGCCGCCACACTGCCGTAAAGCGCGCCCGGGGCCCGGCCGTCCCGCCGGCCGCGGTTGGGCCCGCACGCTGCCGTGCGGCGAGGGAACTGTCGCGCGAGCGCTGCGCTGTCGCGGCGCGATGTGGCGGGGCGCGGCCGCGGCGCTGCTGGGCCTGGCCGCCGCCTGCCTCCTGCGGCGCGGGTTCGAGCCCCGCGCCCGCCTGCTCAGCGCCGCCGAGCTGCGCCGATACCGGGGGGCGCCGGGCGAGCCCGGACTCTACCTCGCCCTGCTGGGACGGGTCTTCAATGTGGAGCGGGGCCGCAAGCATTACGGGCCCGGCGGCGCGTACAGCGGGTTCGCAGGTACCTGCGGTGGGGCGGGGAGCGCTGTGTGAGGGCCTGGGTGAGGGGCTGAGGTTGCCTGGCTGGGGAGGGAACCATCCCCGGAGGTGTGGGTGTCACCCGGTGTCACCGCCGGCCGGGGAGCGCAGCCCGGGCTGGGAGGAGGGAAAGCTCAGCCCTTGTTGGGCCCCTCCATGGCTGGGCTGTGTTCCAAGGCTGGGGAATTCATCCATGGCTGGGGTATTCAGTCCAAGGCTTGAGGGTTCACTGCATGGCTGGGGAATTCACTCCTTGGCTAGAGGATTTGCTCTTTGGCTGAAGGATTTGCTCCATGGTTTAGGGATTTGCTCCTTGGCTGAGGAATTCACTCTATGGATGGGCAATTCAATCCGTGGCTGAGGGATTCACTCTTTGGCTGGGGGGTTCACTGCCTTGCTGGGGAATCCACTCTATGACTGAGGAATTAATTCCATGTCTGAGGAATTCCCTCTATGGCTGGTGGATTCACGCCATGGCTGAGGAATTCACTCCGTGGCCGGGGAATTCACCCCATGGCTAGGGGATTCATTCACTCCTTGGCTGGAAGATTCACTCCTTGGCTTGGGGATTAATTCACTCCATGGCTAGGGAATCATCCATGGCTGGGGGATTCACTCTGTGCCTGGGGCTCTCCCCCTGTGCTCTCCCCCGTGCCCGCAGGCAGAGATGCCACCCGAGCGTTTGCCAGCGGCGATTTCAGCCCGGCGGGGCTGGTGGACTCCGTGTCGGGGCTGTCACCCGCGGAGCTGCTCTCCATCCACAGCTGGCTGAGCTTCTACAGCGACAACTACGAGCCCGTGGGTACGTCTGGGGCTGGGTGGGCTCGCACGGGGATGGGTGTGCAGAGCCCTGAGTTTGCTTCCCTCCAAGGGAAGGTTTAATCGTTTTCCCACCTGGCTGCTGTCCTGCTTGGATTGTCTCTGCTGAGCACAGAGCATGGAGCCAGCCTGAAATCACTCAGGAGAATGTAGGGGCAGCAGTGCAGGGAAATTGTTTTGGGGAATGGTTTCTGGGTTGTGCAGCTGAAACTGGCTTTGGTTTTCAGCTCTGTAATGCCCAAGCTTGTCCTGCATGGGTTTATTAATATGGGTAAACTGCTGTGTGATCCAAGGGTTAAAGGGATGTAAGCTCAGTTTGGTTCTAAAATTGGGCCATGGTGACATCACCTTTTACATAGCAAATTAAAAATAAAGCCCCACCAGAACAATGCATTTTCCTTGCCTGGAAACAGGTCTGTGGTCTGGGAACACTGTGGTCCTAATTGATCTCCTCTCCCAGGGAAGCTGGTGGGCAGATTCTACGATGAAAATGGGGCACCGACAGCAGCCCTGAGGGAGGTGGAGGCTGCCATTGAGGAAGCTCTCAAGCTGCAGGCAGAAAGTGATCAGCAGCAGCAGTTCCCACCCTGCAACTCTGAGTGGAGCTCTGCTAAAGGCACCCGCTTCTGGTGCTCCAGAGAGAGGTGAGCCTGTCCCCTCTGGAGCAGAGGCTTTTTTGGGTGCCCTGTGCTGTGCTCCTGCCTCTCCTGGCAGGAGGGGCATGGGAAGGTGTCCTGGCCCCTGCAGCCACCACACTCCAGGGTAGGTGAGCTCTGGGGCCTGGCACAGGTTGTGTGTGCAGTGGTTCTGCCAGGGCTGGAATGAGCCAGGCATGGGCTCTGTCCCTGCCTGAATTCCCAGGGTTGTTCAGGTGGGAAAAGCCCTGTGAGGGCACCCAGTCCAACCATTCCCCAGCACTGACCTGTGCCCCCAGGTGCCACATCCACACAGCTTTTACATCCCTGCAGGGATGGGGCCTCCCCTACTGCCCTGGGCAGCTGTGCCAGGGCCTGACCACCCTTGCCATAAAGAAATTCTCCCCAGTATCCAACCTAAACCTCCCCTGGCACAGCTTGAGGCTGTTTCCTCTTACCCTGTCCCTGTGAGCACAGCCTGAGTTTCACCTGGCTCCACTCTCCTGTCAGGGAGTTGTGGAGAGTGAGAAGGTTCCCCCTGAGCCTCTTCTGTCACACTGGAATCAAAGAATTTACCACATGTGCACCTGATCTCCTGTTCTCAGCAAAACAGGGCAGAAATCCCAGCAGGACTGCGATTCAAACAGGTTCTGTCACCTCTCAGGAGTACAAGCATTAACGTGTGCTTTTCAGACAGTTTCATACCACAACATTTTCACTTCAACCACATAAAAATGAGGTTAAGCTTTGATTAATCATTTCCTTTCTCTCCTGTTGGTAGCTCTCTCTCAGCTTAGGGACTGTTTTGTTTGAAGATGAAATCATTTCACAGACCACACTGCAAAATGCTTGGGCTTCGTGTCAGCCCAGCAGCAGCTCTGTGTGCCCCAGAGATCTGCTCCTGTGTGTCACTGAGCTTGGGGACAGCCTGGGGACCAGGTGTGATGTGGCAGGGACTTGTGCTGGAGGCGTAAAAGCTGCAGTGGTTGTGGAACAGGCAGGACTTGGCCCATGGAGAGACACTTAGACATAAAGAGACATGATCAATTAGCTGGGGAAGTACTTTTTCTTCTGCCCCAGCTCCCAAAATCCCTGTGTTTAGTGTTTAGCCAAGGCACAGAAGGCCCAGGAGAGCCTGGTCTATTGGAAGGTGGCCCTGCCCATGGCAGGGGCTGGGCTGGATGGGCTTTAAGGTCCCTCCAACCCAAGCCTGTGATTCTGTGAAGATGTGTGCTCACCTGTGAGCATTTAGGTACCTCCAGCAGAGGCATTTTGCTGTGCTCCATCAGACTGTGATTCCTCTGGCAATGGAAGCATGGAATGCAGGAGCTGGTCACTCTCAGAAGGGCAGAGCCTGCAGCAGCAGTGATGAAACCAGGGCCAGGCCACAGGTTTCTGAAGCACAGCCAATAAAAAGGTGAAGGCTGTGGGATGGTGGCTGTTTGAACAAAGCCTGGATGTGGCACTGGGTGCCAGGGTTTAGTTGAGCTGTTGGGGCTGGGTTGGACTCATTCTTTAAGGTCTCTTTCAGCCCAGTCATTGTGTGAATTCTGTGGAAGCAAAGCCTGCCTCAGTGTTAGTTCTAGTTCAGAACTAACTAGACACTATTTAGCTCAGATTATCTGAGGTTTTTCCCTAAGGATTCTCTGTTGACTGAAGCGTTTCCCTGGGTTTGAGTTGTAACAGATTTTCCTTTTGCGTTCGCAGCGGGGGCGTGCCCAGAGGCTGGGCCGGGGTCCCGCGGAGGCTGCACCGCCCCGGCTCGCGGGGCGCCCCCTGCGTGTGCGTCCGGAGCTCGGGGCCGCCCTGGGGCCAGCCTGGCTCCTCCCAGCACCGCGACAGAGGCGACCTGGATGACCCTCGGCTGCAGCAGTACGAGGGCTGCCATCCCCTGGCCGAGCAGTGCGTGCTGCCCACGGGCTGAGCCGGGCAGGGAGAGCCCTGCCCTGAAACCTTGCACTGAACCCCTGCCCTGAAACCTTGCCCCGGGGTGGGCAGCTCCAGCTCCATGCCTGCAAAGAGAGCAGGAACAATCTCATGGGATTTGTGATGCTTTTCAACATGTGGAGATGGAGGAAACACTTCAGCCAGCTCAGTGGCTAAAAAATAAGTAACAGGATGATTTCTTTATTTCTATGGGAAATATTTCTGCACCTGGGAACAAGCTGTAAGATGCACAGCCTGAATTGTGTTTTAGAGCTCTGCTCCTTGTGCAGTCAGGGACTGGGTGTTTGTGTGCACAGTGGTGGCACAGTGAGGTCAGTGAGCACAGAGCTGCTGCAGCATCACTGCCACAGGTCCTGCTGCAGGCACTGCTGCTGCTCCTTCCCAGGCACCTGACTCACTCGCAGGAGTTTAAAGGAAGCAGGGAGAACCCTGAATTTCTTCTGCAATTAAGGTCTACAGTATCAGGAACTTGCACAGTTTAGTTACACACAAGCTTTATCAAATTCTTGGAGACGGCAAAGGCCAGAGCTGCATTTCCTCACTGTGTTTGCATTAGATACTGAGCCCAGATATTGAAGTCACCTGTGGGGATTGTTGTTTGATATTAACCTCACTGTCCTGGTCTGTGATTCACCACTTTCAAACTGTTCTGATCAGGAAGGAGTAGTTTTAAATAGCTTTCTTTTTGTTGCCTGGGTGGCAACAGAACCATCCTACTGTAATCTGCCTCCTGTTTCCATTCTGGTATAAGACTTCCTCCCATCTGCTCTGTGCCTGTCAGACTGAGCTGGATGTGCCCTTACAAGACCCAGCACTCTTAAAATCCGTATTTATTGTGCCACAGCTGGCAGAATTCAGCACTGTGAGTGACTCCCAGAAATGCAGGACTGGTCATTACCCTCTCTGGGTGGGGCTAAAAGGGAGAGAGCAATACCTGCACTGCAAACCTCAAGCTGCAGGGAAGCATTTGCTGGTTTTAGTGGAATCTGCTGTTAAAATCAGTTTTGGTGGAGCTGAGCTTTGAGAGAGGCATGCAGATCAGGGTCCAGTGGTAGCACAGGTTGTGGTCACTTCTTGTCCTTAAGGCAGCTGCCACCTGTGTGTAAGCTCCTGGAAAGTGTTTATAAACTGATTTTTAGCTTTCAACACCTCTGAAGAGAGGCCCAAAATGTAAGTGATGAGTTAGTTAATTAGCAAGTTTACAGGAAGCACCATTCCCTCCCTTGCAGGACACATCACAGCACTTCACTGATAAAACTCAGAGGATGCTCCAGGGATGGAGAGAAAGTGCATTTGTGTGGCTGCCAGGGATGGAGCCACACAAACTTAAACCTGCACATGCTTGGAACAAGGAGGGCAGGGGTGTTGTGGTTTTATTTTTGGCGTTTTTTACCTGTCTTCATCCTGAAGAGAAGCCCCTGCAGGCACTGCCCTGCTGTGCCAGCCCGTGGCACTCAGGGGGAGCAGGATGTGTGGCAGAACCAAACCTCAGCCCTGGGCTTGAGCCATCTCTGGGGGTGGAGTGAGAAATGAAAACTCATTTCACACAGAGCTGAAGATCAAGCTGTGTAAAAGGTGCAGCACAGAGCTGCAAAGCAGCACTTCCCTGCCTCCACAACTTTGGCCTTGGCCACATTTAAAAAGACACCACCACTTTAAAAAGAAATTGTATTTAAAGTAGTGAAACCATCCCTGCAAATGATTGGCAAGTACCTTTAAAAGAGCTTTTTAAAGCTATTTAAAAGCTGCAGCAAATTCCAGACTATTAAATGCTGTAAGAAGTAGTTTGTGAGGGCAAACCAGTCCCAGAGGAGGTGGGACCAGCTTGACCTTCTGAGCAAGTTTCATCTTGCTGGAACACTCACTCACTGTGCAAACAGTGCTGAGGGGATGGTTTTGATTGCAAGAGCTACACAAAAATCAAATAAACTGCTGCAAAAAGGCAGGGCAGGGAGGTGTTGGTTTAAGTTAAAGTTGGTTGGAAATCAGTTCATAGCTTAGTCTTGAGTTTAAGGTTTGGAAACAGTGGGGAGGAAGAGTTTGCCTTGCAGCAGGAATAAATCATCCATTAAAGCAAACAGGGAGACACCCTCAGTGACCTGAAGTGCTCCAGGTATCTCCACTGAGCAGCTCAGCTGGATTCTCCCATGGTGGAAAAGGGAACAGTGACAGCTACAGAGGGCTCAGGTCACCACAGACAGTGCTCTAATAAAGCTCACCATTCATCTGTACTTCAGTAAGTTTTATTAATAAAAGACTAATAATGCATCACAATCTCACCCAGAAGCCTTGGCTGGGTTTGCTATTGCACGGGAGTTTTCCTTGTCCTGCAGTGAGGCTGCAGCAGCTCTGTGCTCTCCAGGGGGCTGAGCTGCCTCCAGCACACAGCTCTGAGTGCTCCCAGGCCTGGGAGCCTGAGCTGGGAACTCCCTGAAGCAGCTCTGGCCCCTGGGGAGCTCGGGTTTGTTTCACAAAACTGGTTATAGGTAAGTCTAGTATAAGGCATTCGAGATGACTGCATGGTACAAACCAGAACAGCAGACCTTGACAGCCAAAAGAACAGCTGGAGCAGTTCCACAACATGACAATGGATACCTGGACTAATCTCAGAACAAAGAATAAAGCTGTTGTGCCCAATTGGATGTTGCATCCCTGGTTTTCTTCGCGGTTGGTCAGGATAAGTTGTAGAGGGGCAGCTGTCTCTACAGGAGCAGACACTTCCTTAGCAAGGTTTCACCTCACAATGCATCATCTAGTTCTGCATTTTATTACAAGTAGAATCATTACACAACGAAGTAATGCATATTGGAAAAATACATTTTTACAACAACTCCAGACAAACATTGCAGATAAAATGCCATTGTTCTAAGACTTCCTTTTCTATTTCACAGAGGGTATTAGAAGGTTCAGTTATTTCTGTCACTCATACAAGCTTTGATTTTTCTAGACATGAGTTTGCTGCAGTGACCACCTCTGCTGCTTACAGAAAAAAGAGGACTTGCTATTAACATTTGATCTACAAAACCATCCAGCCCTGGCCTCCCACACTGTTACATGTTAGTTTATAAGCACTACAGGAGCAGTTGGACAAGCTGTTATCTCCAGCACGGGAAGTCATTAAGGCATCTGTCAGCTTTTAGCCAGCAACTCACTCTGCTCTGTCAGTGCCTCCAACAGCAGCGTTCTCACTCCACTCAGTGGTGTGAAACAGTGACTGCACCTTTCACAGACAGAAATTCCAGCCAGACCACGCTTTGTGCTTGTGTAAGAGTGCTGGGTGACTGCAGGCAAAAGGAATCCAGTCTCAGAACAAAAAGCTACAGCAGGAACCACCCGACCTCCCATGCAACCCTGGTGAGCCTCGTGTGACAGCAGCACTGCAGGGACACAAACTTGAGTTTCCATCTCACTCTTTGTTCAATGCTTGGCAGACTTGAGTTAATATTGACCCCTAAAAGCAGGGCTAAGAGGGGTGGGGGGTTTGGTAACAACTGTATTATGCTACAAAAAGGGAAGAGCAGTTGTTTAGAGTTAGAAATGTGTTGACCACCACTACATTACTGCCTCATTCACATTTGTACCCTGTAGTGGAGCATTGCCAGCAAAACTCCCAGAAAACCTCAGTGGTCTGAGAGCTCAGACCAACACCAGGCAGTTGTGTGAGGGACTGAGCCCCAGCAGTTGTCTGGAGGGCTCAACTCCTCAGCTGAACTAGAAAAGAACTAAGGTGGGTTTTGGTTCAAGTTGTGAGCTTTCCCTCTTTAGCTCTGGCAGAAAGCTATTTGGAGTTGGCTGGAAGGAAACTATCTCAAAGGCACTTTAAAAGATCAAATTTGCTGTATTTAGTTGCTTTAAATTAAACAAACACCTCAGGCTGTATATTTAACAATAATCTACTTTCCTTTCAGACTTCAGTAAGTAAGCTGGGACAGTACTGGCTGTAAACAGCAAACCAGGAGCACTACAGGTGGTTTCCCAGATCCTTCCCACAGTTTTACAGTTATAATCAAGATCCTATTTTTCAGAAAGCAACTACCCAGCCTTAACTTGCCATTCAGTTAATCTGAATTTTCACCAGATCCACATTTTCCGTCACTGCTTTCCTGCTCCCTTGCCCTTACATCAGAGAAGCCACTGAAACAGTGATGTTTAAATCCTTTGGCAATTACATGCTGTGCAGTTTCCCCACCAGGCTGAAGCCCACAGGAAAACCCCTCCTCTGCACTTTGAGCATTCTGAGCACACCCTTACCCCTCCACAGCACTTCAGCTCCAAACCAAGAAGGAAAACAACATGTTACCATGGGATTACAGTCAAGACTTCTTTCACCAAATGCACTTTCCATCATTCTTTCATGGCTAGATCTGCAACCAGTGACACTCTGAAATACCAGAAGTACAATGTTTTCCATCATCTCTTTTGTTTAAAAACCCCCCAACTGTAGATTGTAGTTAACTGACACCAACAATTACTGCAGCTAACATTAACTGACAGCACTATTTTCCCTCATTCACCCACAGCATTGTGCCAGAGGTGCCCCATTTGCATTAGGAACTGTGTTAGAGACCAGCTGTGTGACCCAGAGCATTCTGTTGCAACATGTCAGCAGCAGACATCAAACAGTGAGGCAAGTTTGTATTTCATCCATTGTTCTTCCCTAGTGGTACAGGGGTGATTCCAGTTACAACAGAGGCATTTTGGAAGATCAAAGTGCAGATCAAGTGAGACTTGATGTGAAATTAATCATACAAATGTCAGCAATTGCACCCTCTCCTGTCCTCTCCTTGTACAAGCTTGAGAAAAACTGAGAAAGCTTCCTGTAACAGGAGCAGCCTGGTTCATCATCTCCTCTCACTCTTCAAGACCAACAAGTCACTGCTCCAAACAGGGCAACACATCATCACCTGTCCATCCAGTTCACTGGAGATAACAGTCATTAAAAAATGCACACCAATTCATGGAGCAAAGATGAGGAATGCTGAATTGAGTCTATACTAGCTTTACCTCTTGAAATAAAAACGGCCCTAACATGGCATGTAGTTTTGCTTAAGTACCCATTTTTCTAACTGAAGCCTTTGCCCACCAAATCACAAGCTGGTCTGCCAGTCAAGTACTTTCCTGCTTACCCAGACTATGTGGTGGTAGGTTTCCACAGACTCAGCATGTTGAAGAGAGTACAACCAGCCTAGATTAAAACCCTGCAGCTTACTCCTAACAGGAAGCCTCCATGTACACTCCCACTCCCCAGCAATCCTGCTGAAAATGGGCCCAGGTTTAGTGTCTAGAGGTGCAGCACATTCTACACTTGGCAGGGTTTCTGACTCTCCCACAGCAGTTACCAGGCCCCTCAAGCCCCAGGAAAGTGTTTCTGTCCCTCCTGGGACTCCTAATGCACTTCAGCATTTATTGCTGTACTGGGAGTTAGACTCCACCACTTTTAGTGTTTCTCCTTTAGCACATGCTCAGCCTTTCAGCAAACTCATGGTCATTTGTACAAGTGCCATGGACTGCAAGGACCAGCAACATAAATATGAAAGTGCAATGAAGACTGACAGTTCCAGCAGGTATGAGCAAGAGCATTTTCCTAAAACAATCTTGCACTTCTCTTGAACATGCTAAAGCTAACGAGTCCTTTGCTGAGGAGGTATCAAGATGTGGATCTGCAATTCTGACTGCTTTGCATCAGATGTTGTAAAGCTTTCTGTTGTAAGGCCACAATTCTTGAGCTATACTTAGAACTACCTCCAGGTCTGAAGAGTTTCTTGAACAGTGGTTGCAACAGCTCAGTTTAGCTTCACAAAAAGTCTTCTCTAGAGAAGGGGAACATTTATCTTTAAGACAAAGCAAAGAAAGATACCTGGTTACCCTGAAACTTAATACCACCTCTACTAAGCAGCCTGAAAGCCACAGGACTTAATAGAGTTGCTCAGTGCAAAGCACCATGTTGAGGACAGACCTGTTTTATGCAGATTCAATCAGTACAAATTTCAGCTTCCATACCCCACTGCAACTAGAAGAGGGTCTCAATTCTTTTGTCACTTGGTTCCAACAATCCACTCTGATTCCTAGTGAAGTCTATCGCAGCCTGATACATTTACAGTCATACAAAATCATTTATACCAGAGTATATCATAACAGGGTCCTTAATTAGTTCAGTCTATTGCAGAAGACATGTGTAAGCCCCCTCTTCCCTATCCAGAGGGCTTGTAAGCAGAGCTGCTGTCAGGAGCACTGACTGGGAATCCCTTTACTTCCACAGCATACTAGGAGACTCCTCCCAGAGTCAGGACATCAAAGCAGATGTTGCAAACTCGAACTGGCTTGTTCAGATCAAATTTTATGATAGGAATCTCCTTTGTTGAGCACTTATGGCAGAGCAGGCGTCCACAGTGTCGGCTGTTGACAGAAGAGGGGTGGGAGAAAAGTGAATTCCCTCCAGGTGAACACCAGGATGTTACTGTCTGACATTCTTTATCAATGATAGCATCATTAAATACACATTAGCAGTTGAAAAGCTATGATTATCTTGTATCTTCTGATATTTGTCTTGTATCTTTCTGATATTTTGGAATAACTGACTAATGCCAACAGCACGTGTTGGTTCTGTACCAGTGAATCACATGGTACTGCTTCAACTGAGGCATGTGTAGCTTCTCTGAGCTAAGAAAAATCTTAGCTTAGCACCCTTCCAACCCAGCATGCTTTTTACAAGTTCAGACTATTTTGAAAAGGCAACTATCTACAGAAGAGCAGCTCATGTTCATCTTCAACCATTTCCACACTGCCAACAGGATCCCAAACTTAAGCTGTGAACTCCTGCCTGAATCTGCCACCTCTTTTGGAGCAGGTCATCCTACCACTGTGGTGGTGCTGTGCTCCCCACTGTCTCTCCTGTGTCAGCCCCAGCCCCAGTGGCTGCTCTCTCTGAACCTCCTGCCTCCACAGGAGGCTCTCCCTGACCCCAACCTCTGTGCAGGAAATAATCAAGTCCTGATAAACCACTGCCACATTTACCACTGAACTTCTATTAACTCACTCTCTCCATAAAATGTATTGTTGCTCTTCTGTGGAGTGAAGTGCCTCACACTCTTTCTCTGACAACTGGGTATTTAAATCCTGTTTCACTACTGGAACTTGGACATGATTTCTCATTTATAACTAATCAAAATATTAAATGCACAAGCTGCTTAAAATATTATTTCAGTCAGACTACAAGTTTCTGATCTAAGACAGGATGGAATGTTTCAGCTGGATTACTGGTTATACACCTACATGGAGATTTCCTAAGCTACTAGAAGAAGCAAGCCCAGCTACATTGGGGAGGAATCCATTTCCTTGTAAGCACAGCAAGGGGGCTCATATTACCAGTGATGCTTTCTTGTCGTGACTCCAAATTTGGCAGCACACTCATAGCAGTTGGAGCCATCACACCAGGGAGGTTCTTTTGTCAGCATATCTGTTAAGAGGTAAAAATGTGAAGGCAAAAATGGGCTCAGACACCTTCTGAGTACACTAAACCTGAAGGCTTTTTCCAGTTCTAGGCTGCATTCAGTGTAATGGAGATTTAATTACTCTTACAGGAGCTAGAGTCTCCTTTGTAGATAATCTGTAGTTGATTTCCATCTTATTGTCCACAGCAACTGTGCAGCACCAGTTAAAAAGCAGTGTCTGTGTTTTAAGCTACACTGGACTACACAACCAGCCAAAATTTCCATGTCTATCCTTCCAAAAAAAGTAGCAACAGTCTGTATTGTACAACTTTTCAGCTAATCACCAGAAAAACTAATATTTCTACTCTGCACTGTTAATAGCATAAAATTCACAAGTTCTGCCTCTCTGGAATTACTGTAATCTAAGTCAGAAGCCCAGAGTTTTTTCCTCTGAAGTATCCTGGAAGCATAAGCCAGAAATACTTCCCCACCACAGCAAGTGGTACTTACCCAGCAATCTAAAGAGAAGCTGCTTTGTAGCCACTTGATAGTTGAAGATATTGACTCCTTGGTTATTGTTAACTCCCAGGCGAGCCCCTGCTCTCACTATTGCACGACACAAGTTAGCATTTCCCTTCATGTAAGCCAAGAGGAGCACTGAAAAATAAAAGCCAGACAGTTCATGCAAGCCAAGAAGAGCACTGAAAAATAAAAGCCAGCTAACAGAGTGGTAGATTGTGTTACATCCAGTCCAGACAAGATCTTTAGTTTTTAAGTTTCCATGTATTGTGTGCCTCCTACTGTATTTAACATACTACTGGCAATTATTCCAGCTTTAAAAGTGACATATCATGAATACAACTTGATTACTTTCAAGTTTAGTAATTGTTGAGTCTCACCTACCTGTGTTTCCTTCAGCATCAGGTTTGTCTAGAGGGTATTCTGGCATACACTCCAAGAAGAGGTCACAGATGGCTGCTGCATTATCTTTCCCATATTGTCCCAAAATATGCATTGGTGACTGGCCTCTGGGGAAAAGAGTTTGTTATCCTGATCAAGGTCTGCTTGCTACTGCAGTTACTCATCCAACTCTCCTTGCTTTCAAGTCTGCTTCAGACTTGAACAATGCTACATCTCAGTAACTCAGTATATCACACACAACTGCCTACTTAACTTTCCTTCCTTGGTGTATAGATATAATTTGCACAGAATTTAGACACAGAATCATCTGCATACTTCCAAATTTGTGTATAAATAATATAATACAAGCCAAATATATATTTTTAAGCAGCATATCAGCATATATTTTAAAATACAAAGTGGTTCTTTTAGCCTGATATAATTATAATATAAATAATTACATGATATTAAAATTAAAGGCTTTAATTACCTGATATTATTAGAATATAAATGATTACCTGATATTAAAGGCTTCTGCATCTACATTGCACTCTGTGAGGAGGACCCGGATGTTGTTCAGCCGGCCGTGCATCACTGCCAGATGCAGAGCTGAACAGTTAAAAAAAAACAAAGAAAAAGAGAAAAAGAAGGTTCAAGACTCTGAGTACCAACAATAATTACAGCTTAATACCTAAACAAAACAACCTCCTTCCACTTTCCCAACCCTCCTTCTCAAACAGCTCCTTCCATCTGCTTTGATTTCCTGGACTTTCATTCTTTCGCCTTTGCAGTGCAAGGCCATTCACAGTGAGCTCTCCACCTCTAGGACACACCATTAACAGACCTACTGAAGTGTTCTGCATTTACTTGTGTAAAGTTTACCATTATTTCCATTTTCATCCACAGCTGCAAAGTCCACTCCATTCTCCAGAAGGACTGAACAAATGGTGGGCAGGTCTTGCTGGGCTGCTAAGTGAAGAGCAGTCTGACGGTGCTTGGTCAGTTCATTCACCTGGGCACCTGCAAGCAGCTGGCAGGAGGCAAGAAGGAAAATGTTCAAAGATGGTTTCAGGCTATTTTAGCCAACAGTTTATCTCTGTGAATGAGCACACAAGACTCTGCTTCACAGAGATACTTTAGGCTTCCAGAGTGTATAAAATGGTACAATTACTGAGGTGCTACAAGTGTGTTTGTGTTCAAATGTGCAGAAAGGGCAAGGGAAGACTCTTTAAGAAGAACCAAACCTAGGGAAGGTTCTTTACAAAGAACCAGACCTAGTGATTGCTGCAAACCCAACACCCTCATGTGAAGGCTCCTGTGGCAGCTCAGCCAACAGCCCAAGCTAAGGGGGCTTTCTGTTCTGCAAGCAGCTGTCAGGAGGCAAGAAAGAAAATGTTCAAAGATGGTTTCAGGGCTATTTTAGCCAACATTTCTGTGAATGAAGCACACAGGACACCACTGCACAGAGATACTTCCAGGCCTCCAGTGTATAAAATGGTTTAATTACTGAGCTGCTACAACTTGTTTTTGCTACAACTGCTCAAATGTGCAGAAAGGGCCAGGGAAGATTCTTTACAAAGAACTAAACCTAGGGAAGGTTCCTTACAAAGAACCAAACCTAGGGCAGGTTCTTTACAAAGAAGCAAACCTAGGGAAGGTTCTTTACAAGGAACCAAACCTAGGGAAGGGAAAAGTTCTTTACAAAGAACCAAACCCAGGGAAGATTCTTTACAAAGAACCAAACGTAGCGACTGCTGCAAACCCAGCACCCTCATGTGAAGGCTGCTGTGGCAGCTCAGCCAACAGCCCAAGCTCAGGGGGTTTGTTCCAGCAGAAGGGGGGTCAGTGCTGTGAGGGACCAGCTGCAGGCACTGTGCAGGGAGCAGAGGGCACCCTTTGGGCAGAGCCAGGCTGAGCCCCAGCACACACCAGGTTCCTCACGATGATCTCGGAGCCAGCCTGCACTGCCAGGTGCAGCGGGGTCAGCTTGGAGGCGTCCTGCACGCGCGAGTTGACGTTGGCCTGCACGCTGATCAGGAACAGCACGCTCTCGATGTCCGAGTTCTGCACGGCCACGTGCAGGAAATTCCGACCCTTGTTATCCACCTGAGGCAGAGAGGGCACTGGAATTAGTTTGTTGTTCCTGTAGAACAAGGGGTTTTATGGAGTAGGATGTGTTTTCACTGTAGAATCCTGTTCCTTTCACTGGTGACACTTATCTGATAGATGTGACTACTGAATAACTGAACTGAGATAAAAATTATCTCCTGCAACTGCTCAGTCCAGTCTGCCTCACACTATTTTATAACTTTGTCCTTTCTTGACCACACACTGGACAGTATTTTTAGACAGTTAACAGCTGTTGTGGTGAAGTACAGAGTAGCAGTTAATGATAAACTCAGTTAAATGAAACAAGCTTGAGTCTATCTGGCAATTCATCCAGGAGAAGGAAGCAACATGGGATCCTGCCACAATGATGTAAAATGTATTCAAACAAACATAGGTTTGGGTGGGAAGGGACCTCCCAAGGTGATCCAGGCCACCCCCTGCCATGGGAGGAACACCTTCCACTATCCCAGGGTGCTCCAAGCCCTGTCCAACCTGGCCTTGGACACTTCCAGGGATGGGGCAGCCACAGCTGCTCTGGGCAACCTGAGAATTCATTTTTCTGGCCTAATACCAAGTACATGTTGTTCAACTTTGCCTTGCAGCTGATGTCAAAGCATATTTAAACTGGCTGTACTTGTTATCATGTTTTAGATATAATACAAGACCTCACTAAGCACTCAAATATTTTACTGGCAATTAAACTTACACAGGATAGGAAGAATCTCCTGAACAGCTGCCTGAAGTGTCACACCAGAAGCCTGAAGATACAGTTGGAGGTTTTATAGTTCAGCAGGGCAGCATAGCATCTATTATTCAGTTATTTTAGGTCAGGTTTTCTGTTGTGGATAGCTTTAGGAGAGCTGGGTAACAGATTATTTCTGTACTAGTCCAGCACAAGACAAGAGTGGAGTTAGAATTTTCTCCTTATACACACATATGCCTGTTTCCCAGTTTAGTATTGACAGGATAAGAAGAATTGACAAGACACTAACCCTTAATGTTCTTACACATATCACATACACACCTACAGTTTCCTAATAAATCCTGCTTAAGAGAACTGGCATCTGGCAAATGGATTGCATGTAAAGCCACAAAAGGATAAAACAGAACTGGCTTGTGGAACAGCTGTTACCACAAACTAATGCAGTAACAAAACCAGCATGGTTTGAACTCTCCCAGCTTACCTGTTCTGCAGCTCCTGGTTCCCTCTTCAAAATTGCTTCAGCTGCTTTATTGTTTTTGTATGTCATGGCACAAGCAAAGGGAGTCATTCCTTGCCTGTCACGTACATTCAGCTTAATATCTGGATGTGAAATCATCAGCTGAATGATAACATTATGTTGGTTGCTAATGGCAACATGGATTGGAGTTCTTCCTTCTGCATCCTAGAAGGAAACCAGAAAGTTTGTTAAATATAGACTCAGTAGTACAGAAATCCTTCCCTAACTCTGAAGGGTCAAGTGTAGTTTAGTCCTGTCACCTACCCAGCTTCCTTGAGCATGGGACACCAAACAGCTGCAGGGCAGGCTCAAACCCAGTGTAAGAAAAGCAAATTGAGATTTGTTTCTCCCAACAGGCTGACCTCAATCCTGTGCTATACAGCCTTTTAAATAGCTCACCACAACATCTCCCATTTAGTCAGTCATTTTGGGGGCAGAGATTAGCATGCAAATTTAATAGCAAAGTCAGCTGAGGTGTTTAAACATTTGTCTGCATCAAGCAGCAGTTTACAGCCAAGGCTGCTTTGTGACTGTGTTCTGTAATTCATTTTAATGTCACTTTCAACAGCATCGGGACCTAAAAATGTTATCCATTCATTTCTTTTGTTGTTATTTATAAAGCTTCTGTTTAAGGATTACTGTGTAATCAAAAATGAAGTGTAACTCATACTTACATCGCCTCAGTTTACTAAATAACAGAAGACATTTCCCAAACATACTAACAAAGCAGAGTATTCTGGGGTTTTACACTGTAGCTGGTTTAATTATTAATTACAGCTGTGCTCCTGCCTTTAACTCACACTAGGGACAGGACACACTGTATCCCCCTGTTCCAGGAGAAAACCAACATTGCAGTAAGTTTTCTGTATCATTTTTCCTCAGCACAGCTTCCTGAATTAACCACCACATGGGCAGATAAGCACCAGGTGTGGTAAAAAGGGACAGGAGAGAAAGCAGAGCTGCATCCAGTCATTGCCATGGCTCAGCTCTAAGAGCAAGATTCTCTTTTCTCTATCATGCAAAATACACAGGTGAGAGAAAAGTTTGTTTTCAGTACTTTGGGGGAAAAGAATTTACTTTTAAAATTTACTTTTAAAACTTGTGCATGATTTGTCCACATACCTGAGCATTGACATTGGCACCAAACTCCAGAAGGCACTGGATCACCTCCTCCAGTCCCCAGCAGGCTGCCAAGTGCAGGGGTGTCTGTCCATCATGGGCTTCCTCATCTCCTTCCCCATTTGGGCCTGGCTTTCTGGGACTATTCACATCACACCCACTACAACACACACAGTGCCGTCAATTCATTATGTTTAATCCAGATTTAAACTGCTTCAATAAAGGTCACAGAAAAGATTCCAAGAGCTGACACAGCAACTGCTGACACATTCTACAAAAGCACAAGTTCCTGGTTTTGGTTTGATTCTTGTCATCAAGAACATGATGCTATTACAGATAACAGAATGTGTCCTTTGGATTGGTCAGAATTCCCTGAGTGTCACCCACCCAGCAAAAGCCTAAAGAAGCACATAGTTGTTACTGATTTAAGAGAGCATTCAATTAATTTATGCCAGGAACACCCCACATGCATGTTAGAGCTTTGTGTTTGGGAAGGGCTCTGACCTGCGGATCAGGAAACAAGCAATCTGCTCACTGTTCTCATCAATGGCTCTGTGCAGAAGGGTTTGTGAGCAGCCACTGGGTCCTGACCCCCAACACGTGGCATCACAGCCATGCCTGACCTGGAAAGAGAAGCCCAATGACACAATGAAGGGTTTTTTCAACTAGCTCCAACTATAGTCCCTGACTAATGCTTCTGGAACATTATCCTCTAGAGGTAAAACTTGACTTGTCTTGTCTATTCTTGTGACAGTCACTGAATTTCAGGAAGCTATATTAAAGTCTTCCAGATCAATACTTTATTAGTTTACTGTGTAATCCTTAATTAGGTGGTATTTACTAACAATTCAAATATTTGTCCATACACTTTGATAGACAGATCTAAAGCAGGTTGGATTAGTTACCTCATTTTCAGCAATGACAGGCACCTACAGTAAATCAAGCAGCAGCAGCAGACTTTGAAGGTCTGGCCCAGTTCCCTGCTTGCTCAGACATTCAGCTAAACAGAGAGAGGTTTTTTCCAGGAACTCTATTGCTAATATTTGTATTCTTCAACTAGAGAACTACGTACTTGAGCAATGCGGCACTTAAGACTTGTTCTACTCCACTTGACAAACTATTGACAAGGTTTAAAGATGAGTAGTTAAGAGTGTTGACTCCATGGAAAAGTGTTGACCAGCACAGTCAAGAACAGCTACAAAATGTATTTCTCATGCCACTAGCAGAGTTTTTAACCAGTTGTCTCTAGCAGACAATTGGACAAAGCTTCCAAGTAACTTCCTTATGAAAAAGACACAAGGAGGTCTACTTGTGTATCCTAGGAAATCTGTTGTATCACCCATGCCTGAAAGTAAACAGTCTTTAAAGTAAATATGAGCATTTAAAGGCCTTCTTGGTTCAATGTTAAGATGCAATAAAAAGCACATACACTAAAGCATAAAATGAGTATTCAATTTTATTCAGAAAGCTGATAATTACACAAGTTGTGTATGCTACAGACTGACCTAAGTAGATCCTTACTCCATCCAGATCAGGAATCCAGACAGCAGGATATATATAGAATATATTTTCTTATTAAAGTGGCTGCCAGATATTTGGTCATGCACACTACAGTATTTATAAGATTCCTGCAGTAAAGAGGAATTTCTGGTGAAGAAAAGACCTCCAGAAATTAGTCATATTGGACTAGCCTGTTCTTTTCATGCATTGAGTTTGCTTTTGCTGCTGAAGCCTTTTGCTGCTAGGAAGATGAACAAAAGTGAGACTAAAGCCACCTGACTCTTACCAGAGTTGATGCAATGTCTTCCAGGTTGTTTTCCAAGGCAAGCCACAAGGGAGGATTTCCTTTCTCATCAGGCACAGACATGTCTGCTCCCCTGGTACAAATGGCATCCACCACAAGTGGGAGCTGGTTTTGGATGGCCAGCTGCAGGGCTGTCTGTCCATCCTGGGTCCTGCAGCAGGGACACTTCCAAGTGTTACAGATGCATTATAAAGTTCAGCAACAGCACTTAATTGGCATAGCCAAGAATTAACTCCTCTTGTATGTATTTTTGCATCACAAACACACCGTGTATTTCATCACAGCTCTCTAGTCTACCTTTCTCTCCCCTTCAATTTTACCAAGTGATTGATTTCTACAGTTGGAAAAACAAGTTAGTGTTCTTAGCTCAGAGACATTCAATTCCTTCAATGCAGCCATTATTTGAACAGAGTTCTTTCTGAGCCAGCCTGCTGCCACAGAAGCAAACAGCTTTGTCTCCAACGTGGCAACACTTCAAGCAACAGTCAAATACCAACTGTTAGAAAGTTGAAGTCAGAACAGCAGCTTTAGGCAGTTTGTACCCATGACATTCATTACAGTACAGCTTGCCAAATTTAACAGACAGCCTGTCAGTCATGTAAGCAGACAAATGTTCTGTTAAGTCTAATGTAAGTTGTCTAGGAGACACTGAGGAGGAAAGATTATCAGACTCCTGTTGCTGGATCAGTATCTAATTATTTTAGATGGTAGCAAACATGCAGCTCTAACAAGCTGGCAAATGGATGAGACAATAGAAGTTCAGTGCCTCTAGGCCTGTCTCTAGGACTTCAGTCTGCCACAGAGGAAGCTGTTTTACCTAGAATTAAGTGGCACCTCCTTCTGCAGCCTCAAGAGGAGGTACTGACCAATGGGGCTAACACATGTAATCCCTCAGCCATAACCAGTGCCACAAAACAGTGCCAAAATAAAACTATGTGTAAATCAGATCTGAAACAAATCTCAAGCCATTGTACAAAGGCAGCCAGCACCTGCTCCTAGATACATACACAAGTGAGAGTTGTGTCAGTTAGGACCTTACCTGACATTTATATCTGCCTGGTGTTCCAGCAGGAAGAGGGCACTCTTACTGTCCTGTCTCTGGATTGCCATGTGCAGGAGTGTCTGTCCATCTGACATGGTGTCATTGATGGATGCCCCAGATCCCAGCAGCTGGGCTGCTATTGTGTGCATGCCTGAACAGAAAAAGCTCATTAGTATTTCACCTTCAGTTCTATAAAACAGACACTCTGAGACTAATAGAATCAAGTTCATGTGCACAAACAATATGATTAATAGTTTTCATCTAATATGGAAACTACCAGTGGGTTCACAGAGGAAGAATTCCACTAAAGTGCAAGTACAGTCCTGGGCAGAAGCTGCAAGACTAGAAATCTTTCACTAAGTCATATGTGAACACTAATTTTAAAATATGAAGAACCATCTAAAGCTCTCATTGACAACTCCTCCCCAGCAGCACAAGCCAGAACATGAACACACAGCAGCTGTTTTATCTTTAAGAAAATCTTGTTCCCATTGTAGCTTCACATCCTGAAGGCACATACCTGTCCAAAGAGCCAACCCCAGCACAGTCTGGTCTCTTGAGTCCTTCAGACTAAAGTCAGGAATGATTTGCAAGTTGTTGGTAGCATGAAGAGCATTAGCTACAAGAAAGCACAAGGAATTAGGGTATTCTTGTACTTGACCTGCAGTCACACACTGAAAGCTGCAGCAGCAATGCCACAGTTTGTACTAAGCTGTTCCTTTAGCAGTCAGTGTGTAAGATCTGAGCAAAGCACCTTCAGTTTCCCTGATGTGACGCTGCCTAGGATTCAGATCATATTGCCACTACTGACTGATCTTAATACATATACCAAGGAAAAAATCAATTTTCTAGCTAAGAGGTTTAACCTTTCTAGCTGCAATTCCAAATAGGGTGGTATATACAAGGCTGTGAGAATGAAGAGTGGAGGCTCCACAATATGGTGCAGCCTGGGATGGGCAATATTTACCCCAGCTCACCTACTGGGATGGGCCATATTTACCTGGGAAGGGCAATATTTACCCCAGTTTACCTACTTCCTTGTAAATCCCAGTTGTGGTAGGAGACAAAACTGGCCTTGCTTCAGCTGTCAAATTCCCTTCCTGATGCTAGAAAGCTGATTAGTAGCATTTAATGAACTCATCTGGTGGTATTTGAGCACTCAAGTCTTAACTCTACAATAATATCAGCATTGCTCTGTATAAAATCCTCTAGGAGTTGAGGGAGGCAGCAATCTCACCACAGAAAAATGTCTTTATCCAAAATTGATTCCAGCATCCACCTGAAGCAAATGCTTTGAAGCTATCTCAGCTGTAACAGAACCCAAGACTAACTGCTCAAGTCCATTACCTACAGTGGAGAATTTACAAACAGACAAAATAATTTTCTTGTTTTAACAAGCAGATGATTTAAGACTAGTTAGCCAGTCTTATTAATTGCTACACTTAAACACTGCTTACAGGAAGATCTGCTTTCTTAGTAGCTTGTCAGAACAGCTTGGATGCCATCCTGACACACCAATTCACTGCAGCATCAAGTCAGGACACCCACCTTTTTGTTCTAGGATGACTGACACCACATCTGGGTGGTTGTAAGCAATAGCCATGTGAAGGGGAGTTTGCAGATGAACATTCTCTGCTGATGGAGGAGCAGGTGCATCCTTCTGCCCAGGCACTGCTTCTGCTGTCTGGATGTTGGGATTGGCTCCTTGCTGCAGGAGCTCTGCTGTCAGGTTTGCCAGGCCATGCCTGCAGGCTGTGTGCAGTGGGGTTTCTCCCTTTAATAAACAAGGTGCTGGGTTAACAGCTTGAGACATGAAGAGAAGCAGCTTTTAAACTCTTAAAATTAAACTATTAAAACTACAAGAGCTGGTGTGAAGAGTTTCACCCCTAGCAGCTGAAGCTCGTTAGGAGCTCCAAACTACATGAGTTAGCTTTTACTAAGGATTTTATTACACCAGGCACTGCAGTGAGTGCTAAAAGCATGTTAACAATTGGTGATTCTGCAAGAACAGTGCCACAAGAATGCAAGTGGTCACTAGTAAATACCTGAAAACATGCAGAGGTTCACAAAGTGCTCCAACTTGCTTTAAGCTATGGTTTAACCATAAGAGATCTCTGCTATCTTATTTTTGAAGAGAAGTAAGGAAACTTTCAGACTAAGTTTCTGCTTTTACCCATTTGTTTTGGTGGTTGACTTTTGCTCCATGAGTTGCTAGGAAGAGAGAAGCTGCCTCATTTCCTGCACCAGCTGCTCTCTGAAGCAAGCAGTTTCCTAAAGAAAAACCATGAACACTGTTATTCCAACCACACTTTGATACTAAAGTGTGCTAACACCTTCCCCACTACACTTTGAAGTCAACAAGGAAAACCCTTGCTATTAGGTTGGTAGTAGCCCCCTTCCAATTGTCACATGCACTTCCATTTAGTGATTACACATCTTGAAATTGTAAAGGATTTAAGAACCTGGCAATGAGTCCAGATTTTCTGTCACTTTCTGCAAGTCCATCTCAGCTTGTCAGTGCAGCAGCTCTGGGTAAAGCAACTACCACCTGGCATTTATTATGGAGCAATTGCTGCTGAAACCTCATGCAGCTCCTCCAAGTGCACTCAGCATTAAGCAATTAACACACAAGCCTTCCACCTACAATGAAATACAAACCTCTGGTTTACCTGTTACTGTGTCTGGAGCATCTGTATTGCTGCCTCGCTGGATCAACCTTGCTGCAAAACTGTTCTCATCAAAGGAGGTTCCATTCACAACAGGGGCATCCTCAAAAGGGTTCACAGACTGATCAGAGGACACAGTGATATACTGCACTGCAAGCCACAGAGCTGTGCTGCCTTCATGATCCTTCAGCTCCAAGTCTAGTCTAAAAATAAGAATTAGTGTCCCCCAATTTATACCTTAAAAAGTGGTTCCCAAACACAGCTCAAGTTCCAAGTGTCCGAACAGCCATATTAACTCACACCTCTCTGACAACTTTTGCTTGCCAAGAAGCTACTGTAGCTCCAGTTACTTCAGAGAATTTATGAATACTCTGAAACAACCACAGCACCTTTCAGTGACTACCAGATTCAAGCTCATTGCTCCTAGGGAAGTGTAGAATCCCTGATAGATTAGGCTCCCACTAAGTGTAACAAAGAAGCAAATTCCCTTGAGTAAGCCATGTACAAGAACTGCAAATTCAGCTGCAATGAAACTGAGTCAAATGAAGTCTCCTGCTTCACCATCCTAAGAAGTCACCTCTAAGCAGAACCCAAGTTGAACTCAAGAATATACTGATATTTCAAGAGTGTTATTACTCCTTTCAGCTCCACTACAAATCAACCTTCACCTCTGGAATTATTTCAGCCTCTTTATAAAACACAGAGATGCAGTTTGCTGCTTCTTTACAGTAGGGTAAAAACTTACATGGCTTCTGATATGGTTTTAACATCTCATTTATGCAAAGCCTTTACACTTTTGCATCCCAAATTCTTACTAGTCTTATTATAAGGCAAAAAGGCACAGAGGGGTTGTAAAACCAGTTTTTACATCTTCACTGTCCAAGGTAATCTTGGTGCATTTAACATTCATGTGACACTTACTGCTTGCACTGCAGGAGCTGGCTGAACACAGGCTCATTCCTGACCACAATGGACACGTGCAAGGGGGTCCTGCAATTGGAGCAGAGAAAAGTTACAGCAGGAATGAGTGAGACACTGCAGACTTCAGCCCCAGCCACCAACATGTCCCTAGAGAACTACAGGCTTTCATCTCTGCTTAAAGGAGAAGGGTACAAGCATTTCTTAAAAGAAAGACAAATCTAAACTTTTAGAGAACATGACTCCAATTAATTTGGTAGTAAGGAACTCATTAATGTAAGAAGTAACTTTAAAGGAAGAAGCACAACAGCTTCACCTATCAGAATCGTGCAGCTGATACATTCCAAGTCTTCTATATTATTTTATAAACTTGCTTGCCAGCCTAACCTAACCTGTGAAAAAACTTACAGGCCCTACACTTCAGAAAACACACTGTAGAAACTGGCATTTTTTTGAGAACATTTTGGTTTCCCTGACAGCTTCAGGTATATTATTTGTCATCCTAGTTAGCTTTTACCATTCAGTGACTCAATAAAGGCAATTTAGCTGTATTCTATGTGTTCTAACACTATCAACTCACCCCAGCTTTCTGTAGCTGGGCTATGTTTAATTTGCCATGCCAAGGTACCACTCAGCCTGCACAGTTTTCTTTGAGTGCTACCAACAGGTCTCAAATTGGGTAAATGAGCTCTTGCTTCCAGCATCAGCTGTACTTTGCTGAAAGACCTGAACAGGTTCTTAGCAGGTTGCATCTGATCTCCACAGCATTCTGTGGAGCAGACTGTCTGCAGCACTACATTTCCCCAGTATTTACCTGCCTTTGCTGTCCTGCATGTTTGGATTGGCTCCTGCCTGCAGGAGGGCCTGTGCAATCTGTGCCATCTCTGCCATGACATCTGGGGAGTGCTTCTTGGGGCTGTAGGATGCCACAAGGTGCAGAGGAGTCTCCTGGTCTCCCAGTGTAGCAGCATTCACACGGGCACCATTTTTAATGAGAAAGTTTGCAGCAAATTTATCTCCTTTTGTGAAACAAAACAAGGTTATTAATGGATATATGTAGCCTGTATATTTTATACTCCAGGAAACAGGTGCACATGACTTCATGCCATACATTCATTCCAACACAATTTCTGCTCCTAGAATGCCTCAGCAACAGGCAACTTCAAAAATGCTTTACAGCAAAGTCAAGATTAAAATATTTCACAACAAGCCCTTGGAAAAAGTGATTTGCTCACAGGTTATCATGACTCAAGTTCTCACACCAGCTTACTGTTATAGAGATACTGACTTTGGTCATTCCTCTATTGAGATATATCCATTGTTGCTTTAATCAAACATTGGGCAAACTAAAGACACAAATATTTTTGTAACAACAGGTACTATTCCAAGGCACTAGTCAAAAGTTTCCAGTTCAAGTCAGTCTGTTGAGTGTTACTACATAAACAAGTAATAACACTGCCTTTGCTCTGGGAAAATCAGGGCCTTGTATATATACAGGGTAAGGGCTTTAGCAGTGCAGACCCTCCATGCACAGCATTCCCAAGAACTCCTTCTTGACTAGACCCACTTCAACACATGAAACCGTGAACTTGAAACACCAATGCAAAGAACAACTTCAGGAAAATACTAGCTGCCCCTGCTTCAAAGGCTACTTTGCACAGACATATTCACATATTCACATTTTGCTTGGCCTGAGTGCAAGATCAGAGAACAAAGAACAGTGTTTCAATCTATAGTGCTGGATTATCTCTGCCAACAAAAACAAAAGTCCCATTTTCTGATTTCCATATCAGACATTCCTCCACTTTTCAGTGAACATAAGTAGTAAGAATCATGTGGCAAGTGCAGACAGTTTGCTTTAGCTCCACTTCCAGAACATGTGATTGTTAACTGTGATTAATTCACTGAAGCTGTGGTTACTGAAAAGCAAGTGTTCATTCCCAGAGCTCCAGCTCAGACTGAAAGCAGACATTAGAACTAGAGACAAATGCCAGCAGTAAGAATGAAGAGCAGCCTGCTGGAAATCCAGTGTTTCATAGGGCTGCAGCCATCACACACTGACCTATGCCTACAGTGTCTCCTACTCCTGCAGCTGAAGTCTCACTCACAGGATCAGGTGCCAGCATTACCCTGTTCAGACATGTAGAAGATTAATTCAAATTTTGTGAGCTTAAAATACAGCTCCCAACTTCTTCCTTTACTTCTAGGGGTCTGAGACAGTTTGGTGCTAGAAATAAACTTTCTGGAACAGAGCTGCCAAAGACACTGCAGAAATAAGGAGCAGCACAAGGTGTTTGCTGCAGATTTGTACCACACTTTGACCACAGGCCAAGATGCTGCTGATCCAAACCCTTCAGAGTCCTGTGGCCATGGCAACCAGAACCGGCTGTGCTCCAGTTCTCATAAGATGCATTTTCCACTCTAAGGTGGAGAACAGCTCAATATAATCATGTAGTTGTACTCAGATTCTACTCTGATAACTGCACTGGAGCTTTGAAAATATTCAGGCTGAGCAGAGGTACCTCCATTTGCTCCTCATCTTCTTCCAGTCAGATTTTCCTCTTCTGAAACTGCTGTGCAGCAGTGAGAACCCTCACTGTTAACCATATCTCTAAGAGGCACATGCTGCATTCAACCCAAGTCCAGGAAAAGACTTCATCTTTGTGACCCTTATGTTGTGGTGCTCAATTCAACTATTTGTCAGAAAGAATACTGTTAAATTAGAATATTCCCTGTCTGCCTGTATTTCTCCTCTTAGCAGGCAATGTTGTACTAGATTGCACCTGGATATCACACAGCATAAGTTTCCCCAGCCAGCAGACTGGTTCTCAGATCTCAAATATTCATCTGTTTGCTTTTATGCCTAAAAAAAGCAAAACAAACAAAAGCACAACAGGACAAAGTTCATATTTCACTACAATTTTCTAACTGCAATGTCAACTACAACATGACACACAAGTTAACTTTGAAATATATATTCCACACTGGGAACAACTGGAAGTTAACAAAGCTTCACATCCCATCTACTTACCTCTCTGGATGGCTTTATGGAGCAGACTCCAGCCTCTCTTGTCTGCCCTATCCACATCAGCCTTGTAGTTGACCAGTGTAGTTGCAATACTCTCCAGTCTTTGGGCCAGGGCTAGATCCAGAGCAAGATCTCCATTGTGATCCAATTCATTGAGCTTCCCAGGAAGCTACAACACAAACACAGCCAAGTGCCGTTAAAAGTGTTTGAGTAATTATTCCCTGCACTTTACTGAGGGACAATTTATTTGCTATTTGTTTGAAGTTTTCATCCAAACAGAACAAACAGCTGTTACTTCAGCTTTCAACAGAAAAGTTGTTCAGGAAATGATTCTTACTGAACTGCCAAGAAGCAGCAGAGTTGTCTATTATAACCACTCAGCTTTAAATGGGCAGAGCAATATCAGGTAATGGCTTTTATTAGATATATTCTGTTGCATGCAAGATGTTTTAAGCATTATGAATCACTACTAAATTATGTAGCTACTGCTAGATAGATCTCCATTACAGACACAGAAGTAGCTGTGGCAATGCTAAACATGCAAATAAGAATTAGTGACAAAAATCACAAACAAGGTTCAGACTGGAACTTAGGAACTGGTTATTTGAAACATCAAATTCTAGACAGATCAAGTCAGTCTCATTATACCTGAGAATCCATTTCAATAAGGTACAAAAAGACTACATCTTCTCTCTCCACTTTAATGGCCTTATGCAGGGGGTATTCTGTCTTGGACTTGAACATTTTATACAACAGCTGAGCACTCATGCTGCTGAAGTCTTCTTTCCTCAAGTCATCCTAGGAGCAGTTCAGAAAGAGAAGGGTAAGCAACACTCCTGTTTTATTTATGGACAAGGCATTGCACAATGCAATTCTCAAGTTCACAAAACAAGTTCAGTTAAAAGTTCAATTTTGATAACATTTTGGCAAGAACAATCCCAGATAGTCTGTTAAGATTAGGAAGAAACAATCAGGAAGTTTCAAATCTTGCACTTGAGTTTCAAGATCAGTTGGTTAAATTATTATTTCTTTTTGTCTGCAGACATGGAAAAGCAGCATTTTAATGCTACTATGGTAGATTAACACTTAGTCTTTAAAATAATCCTCTACTAACTTATTCTTAACACTGACAAAAAGTCCTACAACTATTGAAGACTGATTCATAAAATTACAAACAAAAGTAAGCAGAGGCTTAGGAATGAAAATATCTTAGGTCTGAGCTAGTACTCATTTGACTAAACAGAAGCAACTTCATTTCCAGATAGAGGTAAGCATCAAAAGTTAGGAGTCAAGAAGAAAGTCAAGAGTTAAAACTGCTGACCCACAGGTTCACATATAATAATCTTTTTTATGAATTAACATATTAAAACACTTCCCTCTGCTTAGAATTAGCCAAGGAAAGAAACCTCCACATCTAGAGCATGCATTTTAGATTTGGAATAAGCTAAAGTCCCCCTCAAGTCTACTGTTGACAAGTCTTATTTTAAAGGCTAATTCATTACTCAGTTAATCAAACTTTCCTCAATATAAGAGATCAGAGCAAGTGAAACTTCCAAGTTGGTTGCAAGACTGGCTGCCTCTCTCTCCATTACAGAAGATAAATTGCCCTGGCTTCCATGAACTATTTTTAGAAGTAAAAGCAGGCCTGGGATTTGTGATCTGTATAGACAGAGACCAACTATGGACGAACTTATAAACACTTTGAAGCCCAGATTTGATAAACAACCCTCTTGTTTATCAGGAGACAGTCCCTTGTATCTTCTTCATGTTTAGGAAACTGAGACACTTTGTACAGTGAAGTATTTCCAACCAACAGAACAAGTCTTTGGGCAGAAGTTACTCTTCCCCACCAAGACATTCTCAACATAACTGACCAGATGTTAGACAGTGTGGTAAGGGAAGCAAAATCCTACCAGTGAGTTTCTATAATGGGCAAACATTTCTCATCTTGCTTCCCCCTGTGCCAGGACTCACCCAGTGGCTAGCAATGATCTCAGCACAGTAGTTGAGGAGGGTGCTGGCACTGAGCTCCTCAGCAGTCTGGTAGAAACGGATGCAGTTCCTGACATTAACCAGTGACATCACTCCTTTTTCACATCTGTCAAAACAGGAAAGCCAGTGGTCAGTAATCAAAAAGCTTTACTTAATTACTGTCCCATGCTGTAACAGAGTCCTAACACTGTTTTTCATAGATGCTGGTAGAATATGGCATCATCTTGCTTTACTAGAAGGCTGAACTGCATAAACATACTTTCATCAGCAGCCCTAGAAGACATCTCCCCAAAGAACAGACTTCTATCAGAGAGATAGCCAAGGTCCCATGATAACACCATACTGCAGGATCTGCAAGCACAGATCCACCCCAGCTCTCCCAAGGGCACAAACTGCAGTTCATTCACTGCCATGAAGTAGGGAGATGTACTACAGTGACCACGAGCAGGGGCTGTTGAGGTTGGACATCAGGAAAAATGTCTCACTGCAAGGGTAGTCAGGCACTGGCACAGCTGCCTGGGGCAGGGTGGAGTCACCACCCCTGCAGGATTTAACAGATGTGGCACTGGGGATATGGTTAATGATGGACTTGGCAGTGCTGGGCTGTTGGCCACTCTATCTTAGTGGTCTCCTTCAGCCTAAACAATTCCATTATTCACTGATTCTGCACCTACAAAACCATCTCATAATTATGAATGGCATCTACACATGGAGCTGTCACTGGACTGCTGGCTAGAGAAGTGCTAAGTTCACAGTCCAACATAAGGGCAGCTTTCAGGCTGGTACAAGGCTTGAAGCAGTTTTAGCCTTGGCCTTACAGATTTCAACTCCTCTGGTCAGAACACTTGACAGCAATTTAGTTGCTTCACATTGAAGGCACACAAATCACAGCTTATGAATGTCATGTACTGCTACAGACATCCCTTGGGCAAAGGATTATTCTATCAAAGGCTACTTTGACTAAATTGAAGGCTTTGAAGTTGTACACAACTTGAGGAGGTTTCAATTTGTGCATTCAGGCTTCTCACTAACTCTAAATGGTTTAGAACACCCTAAAGAGTTCAAGATAACAACCTAGCCCCTAGTGCCACAGTGTAATCACAGTCTCAGGCTGGGAAAGCACCACACTGCTACAGTAACCCTATTTCTGAAGAAAGGTTGCACAAGATGCACAGAAGTTACAAAAATTTCACCTGTGCCACTTTAATACTGCAAACTAATTGCCATTGATTCTTCCTAGCTTTCTCTAACAATTCCTTTCTTGCAACCCTCCTGAACCTGATGCTATCCTACTGATCTCTCAACACCAGATTAGAGTTATTAGTTTGGCTGGGAGAAGAACTGAAAAATAAACACAAAACCTATGAGAAGTCTGCTACAGTTTAACTCTAGTGCAATGCTTCATTTTCCCTGATAAACTGTATTATATGTACATGCTGTATTATTAAAAGCTCAAGACTTTGAAAAAGCATAATTTTATCCTATTGCCAGCAGCTATCATCTTATTTCTGTTCAAACAAGGTTTAAGAGTTCAAGTATATTTACTAAGACTCACCTTTCCCTAAGCAGCTGGAGCTGAAATTTATTAGCTAATTTCATGAGCTCTGTCAAAAAGATATCATCTTCTCTCAGCTCAAGTTCATCTGTGTAGATCCACCTCAGCATTGCCATGGTTACCTCTGGGTCAGCATCTGCTACAGGGAGCAACAGGATTAATAAAATACTCAAAAACAATCACCTATCCTAGTAATTGCTATTCCTTTCACTTCTAAAAGTCCCAGCTACCATAAAAAGAAACAGATAGTCTTGTTTTGAAACTGTACTTTGTTCAAAATGTCAAAATGAGTGAAATTGGTCAGAAGTTGAGTAACAGTGCTGGCACCAAGCAGGAAAATAATCTTACACTGCAACACTGTGCAGAATGCAGGGAGCACTGTAACATCTACCAATGCTACATATTTAGGGGTCCTTGTAAAGTCCTTGGTCCCTCACATATGGCCTAAGGCACATCCACACCCGAAAAGAACAAAGCCCTTTTTAATTTAACAGCCACATGTTATGAACTGCTGCACTCCAACAAAGGTACTCACACCTTGTTACACTGGTAGTAACTACAAAGCACTTCCAACTGCTGGTAGCCATTTCTAGGAGAAGTGCAAAAAAGCCAGTTTAAGGAGCTGGTTAGATTTCAGGTCCTTACAAGACTGATCACAAACTGATGTTTTTACACAGTGGAAAAACCAGAAAATCACACCATGTGACACTGCACAAACCCAGTGGCCAAGGATCTTTGTCACTCACTCACAATTAAAATGACAATCCATTTTACAAGGATGTAGATAGAAAAACTTCAGAAGATCAGATCAACCACAACAGAAATACCATTAATTTTAAAAATTAACCTTAGTCCTTTGAGTTGCTTTGTTCTTTAAAAAAATATTTTGAATTAAAAACCTTAAAGAACCTGAAATACCCATCCTAAAACATCTCCTTTAGATGCTGGGCTGGCCCAGATTATCTGCAGAGTAGTAGAAGTACTTGGCATGCAGACTGCCTCTCAGGAATCACAAGGTTTTAGTAAGACAAGTATTTTTTGCCAAACTCAAAGCAATCAGAAAGCCTCCTTGAGATGTGCTATCAGCTCTGCCTTGGCAGAGGTAAGAGTGCATTTTCTCCTTCTCAATAAGAGAACATGTGTTCATCTCTTTCTACTCTTTTAAAGATTAGAAAATTCTACAGATTACATGAACTCTAAAAGTGCTCAATCTCAAATGCTGCCTGCATTCTGAAGATAAGATTCAGGCACTCTTAGCCTGCAAATTCTTACCTTAAGAAAACAATTTGCAGGGAGCAGCTTGTATCTTCCTCCAGCTACTTCATAAGCTAATCCTTGTGCCATTTATCAATCTTTTTAAAAAATCAATAATGCAATTTTACAGTGGAAAGTATCATTTACTAACACATATTTAAGCAGTGTTTGCATTGTTAAACATGTGAGACTGCAGTTATATTTGAGATTCTCAGACTAGCTTAGAGGTGGAGCTAGAAATGCTTTGGACTGCCACTTGTAATGACACTACAATTAACATAAGAGCTTTTTAGTAATTATTTTTGTTAGCACAGCACTCAGTTTCAAAACTCCTTGGCATCTGTTCTCTTGTGGCTGCAGAAGGATCCACCAATGGTGTTGCAAGGAAACCTGTGATGTCCCATAAAAGCAGCTTGCTGTGACTTGCTACTTTCCAGTTTGTCTGCACTTAGAATTCACTGTAAGATTAAGTGCAGAACGTGAAGCCAATGCTTAATATTCAATTCAATGCTTAATATTAAATATACTTAATATTCACCATGCCAGTCAGCAGGCCTGCTTAACTTCATACCTGGTTTTATTGCTCACAAATTAATTGTATAAGGCTCTCCTACACTGTTAAGTACAGAAAAGCCTTTTGAGAGGTTCAATGTGTAGAAGCAATGCCCAGTGTAAGTACATGCAAGAAACAGCTACAACAGAACAAAACACTCATGTAGAAGATGATCTGTTAGAAAACTTCTCTTCCTCACCTGTTCTACAAAGGTATCAAAGTGCCAAAGCAAACAATTTCAGTAACACATCAGTACTTGCATTCACTTCCCACACACACTGTGTTAACAAGCAGCAAGGTATTTCCATGACACGCTTCAGAGAAATTATGCACACTACCTCAAAAAGCCCTGTCCTTCCTCAAAAAGGAAGAAGTCAAGCTCCTCCATATAGATTTGTTTTTCATTATGTTTAGTTGACTCTAGAAAAGACAAACAGGCCACCAATCTCAACCCCTGTTTGTTAAAGAGAAAGAAGGCAGGTTATTGATTTCACTACCACTAGCACCCACTTCACAAGCTCACCACCACTCCAGAGAGAGAGCTCGGTTATCAACAGATCAAGCACCACTTTTAGTGCACAGCAGGAGGCTGGAAGGCACTTAAGTAACCTTCTCCCAAGAGGCCCTTTCACAAGTCACCCTAAAGCCAACAGAGGCATCACATTACTCGGCAGTGACTGACCTGACAGATCCAGCTCCTCTGTTGAGGCGAGGTTGGCAAGGCTCCACGAATCGCTGCGCGCCGCCAGGACAAATTTGTGAGCACGGATGTGCTTGTCCCCAACCTTTATCTTCAGATCACTGAGAGGAGAAAAAACCACAAAAACCTATTATGCAGACTTCTCCTGCACTTAGGTATGTATAGATTCTCCATGGTATCTATATCTGGGTATCCACATTCAGGTTCAAGTTGTTTGAGACATTAAAACACAACTGGTTAAGCAGAACATGTTGTCAAATGACAATTCATATTTTTCTAGGGAGAAATGCAATGAGTCATTCATATTTCAAGTGCTTGGTTGGTTTGGCTTTTTAAACCATTTCAGAATAAACAGCAAGAGAATTATTGTAGAAGTTAGGAAAAGCCAACAATCTTGAAGTTAAATATTTATGTCACAGTGTCCATAGCAATACTGTCAGCTGAGCACCAATGCTTTCAGGCAAGACCAGCAAGAGAACAATGCTGTTTGACAGGAGGCTGAGTGCAAGGCAGAATCCCCAGCTCCCAGGAGACCAGCTGTCAGGAACATCCATTTCATCCTGACCCTTTACACCAGCTAATCCACTTGCCCTGCTCATTTGGAAATCCCATGGCCTGCAAATGTTCAGACTGTGCAGGTGTGCTTTCCAGACCATTTTCCAAATCAAAGCACTGCTACAAACTACAGCACACAGAGATGTTACTTAATGAAACCTGCACTGGGACCTGCTACCTTTCTCATTCTGTGACATGAAGGCCCTTTGAGACAAGCATTCAATGCCTTTAAAGCTAAGGAGATGGACAGAAATAAAGTGTTCCAACTCTTCTGACATATACTACCTAACAAATCTTTTATCCACCAGGCTATAGAAAGTTCTTGCAGGGCACAGAGCCTTTTCTCAGGGAGGCTCATGAAGAGATACGGGTGCAAGGAAATCTTAACTAAAATAGATTTTCCCTTACATGACTAAACTCCTTTGCTATATTGGCTTTGCTTTCAGTAACAGCAAAGAAATTGACAAATATCGTCATAATATCAGAAATTAATCAGCTCAGGGATCTAGAATATGGAAGGGATCCTTAGTGTGCCTAGGGAAAAGAAACTATTAACCATAATTTTGTGTTGAGATTCAAAAATAGAGTGTATCATTAAGTCACATACATCACTAATACAACCAGACAAACAAAATTATTCAGGCTTCTTCATACACAACAGGAATACAGCACTGAAAATGTTTTAAGACAAAGCCTTTCAAGAAAGGAACAGTTTTTCCAGACACATTGTGTAATTAATCTATCAACTGAGCATGGTTCAGTTCAAAACTCCTTCTCTTCAAAGTGAGCTGTGCTGCTGACAGTGATTGTGGTTGGTTTTCTCTGAACTTGTCTGAGATGAACTTCTGCTTAGAGCTCTCCATTCAAGAACTGGATTCAGTATGCCACGACCTTAGCGTGCTCCTCCATCTACAGCTGCAACTCAGGACTCTATTCACACCTGGCAGCAAAGAACTTTCCTTGTGTAAGACCAGCACCCTGTGCAGTCAATAAAACCAAAGATTCCTGTAATTCCCTGACCCAGGGGGGCTCCTCACCTGTACTGCTCCTGCTGGTAGAGCTCAGCCACAATGGCCAGCAGGCGGCTGATGAAGGTGTCGCTGGCATTGTCCTGGTTGGCCTCCACAGCCAGGACGTTGCACCTCCTTTCTGTATCCACGAGTTTCTTCTGCAGCTTCACGTACTCCTGGCGGAGGAGCAGCAGGTGCTTTTCCAGCTTGGCCACCTCCTCTGCAAGGCACACAGTGTTACTACAGGGCTGAGACATACACAACTCTGTTTGGCATCTGAGGGTATCTTCACATCTTGTTTAATTACAACACTCCAAGGAGAGTGCCTCCTCTTCCAAAGCATCTCACCCCCACTATTAAACCTTCTATTTTGTATCATTTTCATAAACACATTGAAAAATCATAACACAGTGATAAAAGCCACTTACAAAGAAAGTTCTGAATTCTGTTTGATCAGAAATGCCATAAAGTTCCTAAAGCCATGGAGTCCATTTCTGGGGGAATTACAGCGGGGCAGAGGACTAAGTCTTTGCTTCTTACTCATTTTTTTCAGCCTAGTTAAGATGCTGTTTGAATTTTCAGCTGATACTTAAACCAGAAATAAGCATTAGAACAGCTGCTAAAGCACCATATCTACCTCAAAGTATTTAACTGACCTGTTTAGAACACCTCAACCTGTCAGCTAAGAAACTCCCCAAAAAATGGCCAGAGTGCAAAACAGATTATCCCCAGAATCCACGTGCTAAAGGCCAGTTAAAAGTACATAAAACCACTTCTTGCTGGCACACACACTCCTCCACTGGAGGCACTCCACTGGTGAGGCATCACAAATGGAGTCAAGTCCATATTGGCTATTTCAGTTCAGGATCAGCAAAGCAACAGCACCTGGGAATCTGATCCTTTAACAGGTATTTCCATCCCATTGCAGAAGCCACTTTTCCCCCACACTTAACTGGTCACTCCACAACATGCTGGGGTAAATCAACCCAGGCCACTCCTATGAAAAACCTCTACACCTCACTGCTGGAAGGAAACATCTGTACAAGTATTTAAAACCAATCCAACTTCTGAGTGCTAATTTATGGATTAGTTGCAAAAACTGTATGTTTGCTATCAATCACAGGGCTTCATTATCTTCCCCCTATCATTAAGTTGATTTTTCAAGTAAGGCCAAATCCCAAACTGGTCCTAAAATAAGAGGGGGCAGGGAGGATAAATTTGGACACTAACCAGTGACTTTAGGTGGGAAAGTTCCTACAAGATTACTCCCTACTAGCCAGGAATTCATATTTCAAAGACTTTTCCAAAATATTTACTAAACATCCCTAGTACAAACAAGGGCAAACTGAGCTCTGTTGATCAGTGTTTTCTTCTTGCTCCTGCAGAAAAGTTCAACAGTGCAGCTGACCTTGGCCTTGCTCTGACTCAGGTGCCCAGGGCAGAGCATCAGTCTGTGGCAGCCAGAGCACCTTGTTCAGCCTGTCCTCCACAGAGCCTGCAGCAAATGCTGCCTCTGAACTCTCTTAACTTAACTATTGTAATGGATAAACAAAAGGCAACACATCCCATTTTATTTGTCAGCTAATACATAAGCAAGTTTGGTAGGTACTTCCTTCAACAGCCTTTTTGTTTACTTCATCCTTCAAAATTTCAGAGCTACCACCTCCTTTGGGATACATTTTTCTTTCTACTGAAATATACTCTGATTTCAGAATTGTGCCATCAGCACCCCACCAAGCCTCAAGGAGGGTTTGAAATCCTGCTGTGGTCAGTGTTTCTGTGTGAGGATGAATGCAGTTTTGGTGTTCCCAGAACTAGAAGGACACGTCCCTTGAGCAACTACTCCTTCCTCATTTCTCCATAAGGATGGTGTTGGGGCACAAAGCAAGTCCTGCTGTTAGAGCAGGAGTCTGACAGGAGCCCAGAGTAAATAACACTGAGAACTGCACCGAAAATCAGTGTATGAACAGCACCACTGTTCATCCAGTCAGTTTTTAGATGGCATACAAACTCAAATGCTAGGAATAGGAAGCTGCCTATGAAGCTCATTGCATGCACCACCCTACAGAAATCCTGCATCTTCCAGCCAAACCATGGGAATGCAAAGGTGGGAATAAAGAATTGATACCACCATAAATACTGTCATTTTCACTAGCTCCAAATTAGCCTGAGATCACTAGGATACAATGCAGAATTACCATAAACCCCCAAAGAGCAGCAGCTGAAGCTTTGTGCATGACCAACAATCCAGCTGGTCACTGCTGCTTTCAGGGCAATCCCAGCCAATCCCCACTAGCAGTGAAAGTCCCTCAAAGAACCAAAGCTTTGAGAACTCACTCTTGCTTTCAGACTGACACCAGATGCTTCCTGCAAACTCAGTGAGAAGGACTGAAAGCTATTTATTACTGTACCAATTACAAGAACTGTAAAATAAAGAGTTTCTCTTATTCTACATGACAACTTGCTTACATGTTGCCGTAGCTAGACTTGAGGACAGTATTTGATCCTACAGCACATTTCAAATGCACATTCAAGAGAGTTCTCAAGGTCCAGTTAATCAACATTTGCAGCACAAGAGCAAAGGCTCAGTTTTCCCTGTGAACTGCTCACTTAAGGAGTGAACAAATAAAAGGCACAATTACTGCAGGCACACACACACATTTAATGATGGTCTTTGCCTCAAGGCACTGAAAGGCCAGGCTGAGTCAGATACCAGTAAAGCTCTGGCTAAACACCAACCCCGATGCCCCAGTGAGGAGGATTCCCAGGTTCAGCAGAGCAGAAAACACAAAATGCTTCTTCTGAGCCAGGTAAATAAGAGTAGCTTTTGCTAACAGCTTTCTGGCAGGCTGATCAGCATCTCATGAACTGGCAGAAGTTTATATTCCATATCAAAGGCTTTGAAGAGGATTTCAGGAAAGGTTACTGTCATCTTCTTGCACGAGAATGCACAGAAGTACTCGGGAGCAAATAGGTGAATGCAAATGGGGAGGCAAAAGCCAACGAGGAGACAGACAGCAGATATCAAAAGTTAGAGGGAGGCTCCAGTGGAACCCATCACACAGCCCATTCCACCATCAAAAGCAGTCCCAGAAGCCATACACACAAACTTTGTTTCCTGACAAAGTGGATCTGAGTGAAATATTTCAGAAAACCGAATTATTTCCTTATCCCTTCCACTGCTCCACACTCAGACTCTTATCTCCCCAAGGATGTACAAGAACTGCTTTCTGCTTCCTCCTCACTTCTGCTTATTTTTTATCTTTACCACCCCAAAGCTCTACAGCTACTGCTTCTTTACACTGAAGCATCAATCCAACAATTCTTACCCATGCCTGCATGCAAGTCTCCTGTATTAGCAGTGCAGAACCCAGAAATTACACACTAAGATATTCAATCAATCTGCAGGTAGCAATTGCAATAAATCTGATGCAGGATTTTTCTAGACAGAGGCAACACTTCCTTATGAGAGGAAGCATTTGGCTTCTGAGCTAATAACCACAATTTGACAAGCTCCCTTCCTAAATAAGCTTTCACTTTACAGCTGACTCACGTGCAGCTCTTAACCAGAGAAGTGTGGCTGCAGGTAGGGACAAAATGAGCCCCTGTTCCAACACAACCTAAGGAGCAGAGAAGGGTGAAAACCCCAGCTTGTTATTCCAGTTCACACAGGATCATTCATTGGTCATGTGCTTTATTCAGTCAAAAGATCAGAGAATTACTTAAGGCAGGGAAGAATCTCTGAGAAGTACAGCTTGTCTGAAACAGGGCTTGCTTCTATCAGCTGCAGGTTAATTCTGCAAAGGAGGACCCTGAGCCAGAGCCTCACATCCTTGAGGGTCTCTTTGGAGAAACCTTCACTACCTGAAGCCAACTAAAGCCTTCCAGAACAGGGTCACCAAGGCTTCAAAGCAAGCACAAGAGACTGGTCAGCTAAATATTGAAGGAATGGTATTTCAGCACACAAGAAGTCAGGCATTCCTCTAAGGACTTATCAAACCAGCTTGACTACAGCATCCTCTCAGCTGATGCACGCCTGTCCAGCAGCATCTGCTCCATCTTAGCCAATATTCTACAAGTGTTCCTAAATTTCACCACTGTCCAAGAGCTGCACTTCAAGAGTTGAAAGCTCTGCATTCACGACTTTAACTTCATTTCCTTCGTAACTTGGAGCATTTTAGCTCCGTTTGCACACCCCGTTTCCTCCAAAAAAAAAGAGGAAGCTTGCCTTGCAGAGACGAGCAGAACTGCAAAAATCCAAGCGGGTTTTTTTTCCCCTAAAATCCTTTTATGTTACATTAATTTGAATGGTGCGATTGCCAGCCTCCAAGCAAAACAGCAGCACTCCAGGAGCCCTGCAAATCTCACCTGAGCCTGACAAAAGGGCTCCGGCACCAGTGACCGGAGGCTGCAGCACCGGCGGTGCCCAGGGAAAACCGGGATGAGCCCCGGGATGAGCCCTAAGACACGGACAGGAGCCCCCCTGTCCCACCGCCTGCGGGGAGGGCTCGGCGGGACCTCCCTGCCAGCTCCCGCCGCCCCCGGCCACCCCAAGCGCCCTCCCGTGAGGCGAAGTCGCCCGCGCCAGCCGGCCCCGCCCGGGGGTGCCCGCCAGCGGCCCCCGCCATCTCCCGCTCACCTCGGGGGCGGCCCGCCCCACCCGCCGCGGGCAAGGCCGAGCCCGTCCCGCACGGGATAGCGGCGGGAGCCTCACGCTGCGGTGCCCCGGGAGCGGCGGAGGGCCCCGGCTGCCGCGGCCCCCGGCCCCGCCCGGCCCCTCACCCGGGCTCCCCCCCTCACCTTCCGCCATGTTGGCTCCGGCGCCGCAGCTCTCGCGAGAGCCGCCGCCCGCCCCACCGCCACAGCGCGGCGTTCTCGCGAGAGCAGCGCAATAGCGCCGCCACCGGCCGCGCTGCTGGGACGGTCCCGCCTTCTCCCGTTATCCCGCCTTCTCCTCGTTATCTCGCCTCGTTATCCCGCCTTCCCCCGTTATCCCGCCTTCCCCGAGCCATCCCTCCTTCCCCGAGCTGTCTCGCCTTCTCCGGCTTCTCCGCATTATCCCACCTCCTCCCGCTTTATCCCGCCTTCTCGGAGTTATCCCGCCTCCTCCCGCGTTATCCTTCCTTGTCCCGCACTATCCCTCCTTCACCCGCCTTCTCCCGCTTTCCTCCCCGCTCCTCCGGCGGCACGGGCACGGCGCAGCCCCGGGACCGCGGCGGGAGCGGAGCGCGGCCGGGTGGAGCCGCCCCGGGATGCGCTTCCCGCTTGCAGGAGGCGCCCGGTGATCCCGGCCGGAGCGCCGGGCTGGCGGGGAACGGCGAGGCGGCGGCTGGCACGGCTGGGGAACTGGAAAATACCGCCCAGCACCGGGGAAATCGCCTCCGCTCACCCGCCCCAGGAGCGCCGGCCCGGGCCCCTAAAGCGCCTCCGGCCCGGCCACGGCTGCAGGAGCCACGGCGAGAGGGTTCGGTTCGGGCACGGGGGCTCCTCGCCGCTTCAGGTCCGGCTTTTGTTTCGGAGCCAGCAATCCCGGACACTGAATCTGTGCCCCCGGACACGGGATTGGTGCCCGGTGCGTGAATGGTTGCACTCGACCGGTAACGGGATCATTTTCCCAGCCACGCGTACAACGCAGCTGCCCCCTCGGGTGTTGTTGTTGTTGAACATCGCTCCTGCTTAGATGCAACAGAAATGCCAAATACTTCATGCTGGTCCGACAGCAAACTTGTTGCTTGCTTTGAGGAGCAACTTTAAGTTAAACGTTTGAAGACTTTATGCACAGTATAAGACTTTATGCACAGTATTGTTTTACAGGTGTAATTTTTTCTGGACTCCACCATGCAGTGACCTTTGAAAAGTTGCTCTGCATCCCATTTACTCTGGTGTTGGATGAAACAGCACATCCAGAGCTGGGCCCATGAAGGCCATACAGAGTAGTTCTAGACATCCCATGGAACAACCCATCTCATTTTGCACCGCTGTGTATGACTCTGCTGTATAGCAAATTACCCAACTGCTCATGGTGCTATTGATCCTCTGGAGGAACTGTGAGGAAGCAAATTATTGCTTCCTGATCAGACTGAGTTTAATTTCACAGTAACAGCAGGGATCAGATTTCAAACCACTGCTATGTTTTGCATCAAGGGAATTGTAATTTCCTCTGGGGATTTGCCTGGGCAGGAAGCTGTTGCAGGAGTCTCTCTAAACCCCAACCAGCTTCTGATTTGGTTTAGAATCCCTCGTGTTACTGCTCTGTGTGCAGTGATGGCACTGCACCAAGAACAGGGCACCAGATGGTACAGACAGTGGAGTCCACCCCACATTGGCCTCCCAAAGCCCAAAATACATTTCTAATCACTTCAGAATTCATGTGCTCTGCTTATTGATCACCTAGTTCCAAGAAGTGTTTTCAGGCACTGCAGCAGAAGGAATTTTAGAGTGACAGTTGACAATCCTTCTGAGTTTTAGGGATCCTTTCTGGTGCAGCAGGGAGAAACTGAAAAAGGGAATTAAGATGGCCACACGAGTTAGACAGTCATCAGTATGTGATGCTTTTCCTTTTCCCCCAGTGATGCAGATATATCTGGAATGCAGGGCAAATGCTCTGTGTTGGGGCAAAAATCAGCTCAAACCCTCAGCCAGGGTAACAAGCCCCTGGAGAACCTACAGTGATAACTGAGCACCCTGCACAAACCAAACCAGGTACAAAGTCTTGCTACAAGAAAAACTGAGGAATGCTGGTTTATCTCCTTGTTCACCAAAAATCCTCACACTACTTGTCAATCCTGCAGCTCCTCAGTGCTGTTCCCACCTGGTTTTATCACTAACAGCTTTCCACCAGTGCCCCTTTCAGTGTGGGGCAGGAACAAGGAGCCAAGTGTGATCACAGAAAAGTGAAATAAGCCATTTCCTCGCCTGCCAAAGGCTTCCTACAACCTGGACACTTGGCAGCAGAGCCTGAGCTGCCTCTTTCATTCAGTCACTGGGCATTAGGCATACCTGCAGCTTGTAGATCTTCGCAGTATCCCACAGGAATGCTCCTCCCTGGGGAGGACCTGGGTCAGGTGGGATCACAAACCATCTGGGTAAGCCAAATACATATCTGAATTTACAAAGAGGGGAATGAGGAGTGCTGTGGAATTCCTAGCTCTTCCATACCACAGAAGGAAGACAAACATTTCCTAAAGAACAAACAAGCAGCAATTCTGGAGAGCATAGACATAAAGCTTTGAACAACTTTGTGAATTCACAGGTGAGTCTGTGAGTACTGTGTGTGGTTAATTTAGAAGACAAAACAGAGACCACTCTTAACTTGCTGAAAGCAGCAGATACCTGGAATTGTCTCAGTTCCAGATACACTGTGGAAATTGAAAAGGAAGGTCAGCCTGTGGGGAAGCAAGTCCATTGGTAGGTTTAATACGATCAGCTTTTTTCTATTCTTTTTTTTAATGGAAAGAATGACACCATGGCACTGAAATTCTGCTCAGTCCCAACTTTAGGTGGAAAAGGGCAGTCAGCTGGTGGAAAAAAAAACTGCTCTGAAGACCTTTTGGACAAGTGCTTCAACAGGAACTCAAATCAGCTCTGTGTGTCTGAGGGATTAATACTGCATGCACCTGCCTGGCTGCAGTAGCAGCTAACTACCTAAAAGCAAATTTAACTAATGATTTCACAAAAAAGTTCATTTCCAAATATGTAAATATAGATATTAAACATACCTGTTTATCTAAACCACCCATAGGAGGAAGTAGTACCTTTCCCTCTAAGTCTTCTTACATTAAATGCCTTTTTGTCCCCAAGGGCTGCCTTACCTCTAAAAACAGTCACCTCCTTCCACCCCACCCCCCCTCACAAAACCTGCAATTTGTGCCTTTCAGCATGTGCATATTGCACAGTAACATAAAATGGAGTCCAGACAGCAAATTAGGACTGAAGGCTTCTAAAATGCTGATTCTTTGACACTGGAACTCTTGATTTATCAGTAGGTGCTGCTGTGCTGTGGAAAGAAAAGAGTTGAGTAGTTTTAAATTCTTCTATAAAGGTTTTTTGGTCAAAGGCTGGAAAACTGTTTTTGAGCAGATACTCAGAGTAGTATTTGCTCACTAGAAGGCCAGAGATGGTTACAATAGGGATAAAGGTGTGTGTTTTATTTGCTCTTTCATAATTCAAGCTGAAGCACAGCATGTCCAACTCCTCAAGTGTTTGTGATGTTGATGATGTTCAGGTAAGTTGTGCTCCAGCTACAACTGTACCCTTCTCCTATTGTGATACTCAAAACAGCCAGTTTGACACATCATTATTGGAAAAAATTATATTTTGGAAGAACTCACTACAGAAGGTGACAGAATTCCAAAAATCAAATTACATGAAAATATACATCGCCATTTTCTTTGTACATTAGGTGAGGAAAACTCTGAAGTAGAAGGCAAAGCAGATGAAGGGCCACAGAAAAGAGTAAAGGAGGGAAACTATTTTTGATACCAAACCCAGAAGTTAGTCATTTGAAAGCCTACAGATGTGCATGCTTGAACTCAACCTTGAGAAAAAACAAGCCTCCCCCCCACACACCCCATCCCACAAACAGGCAATGAAAAAGGCAAACCAAAAATTTCACCCATAAAAAGCAGCTCATTCCTATCTTGGACTAACTTAGTCAACCAAACTTCCAAGTGAAAGCACTCAAGTTCTTGGAAGTTAAAAATCCATCAGGCTGCTCAAGGGTGCTCCATGGCCAGTTTTATTGCTATACCAAATTCAAGAAAGATGAGTAATTGGGTTTAAAAAAGGGGTGGGAAGAAAAAAAAGCACCTTTGAGACTACAAAGGTCATCATAAAAGAAGCCACAAGTAATTGATAGCAAATCCTTTCAGGGTTTAATTAGGAAAATTGTAAGTTCTGATGGGGGAAATAAAAGGGACCACATGTCCAAAAACCAAAAACAAAAAAAAAAAAAAGATACTAAACTTTAATAAGCAAGAAATTTTAATTAAGCCTTGGTGGGTCAAAGGAAAATTAAAGTGGGAGGAAAAAAAAACAAAACCAAAAAAAACCAACTTAGTATCCTAATTGGTTTTGACATGCTTCACAAGTTGTTGTTTGTTTTTTTTTTAACTCAGGAAACAATGAACAGGGAGAGAAAAAACCTGCTAAAATCTTTAGAATTTACACAATTCTATCCCTAACTACAGACAGCATTATTTGGTACAATGTGTATTTGTGGATGTACATGAACAGTATATATATTATCCGGATCATGTTGTGCTATGTACACATCTTTACAATTCTTCCTGAAGGTTAAAGCAGTTCATTAGATTTCAAAATGCGTAATCATCTTGTGTTGGCACTTGTTAGGCTCTTGTCAGCATTGATAACTGGCATGTTTTATTGCAGCCCAGTTCCAGCCAGTGTTTGCCAACTTGTAACAACAGAAGTCCAGCAATAGGTGGGTAGAGTGCAGGAAAAAAAACAGTGCCATGTTTCTCAATTGGAGACCTGCAAAGAAATCACAGGTATTAAAATAAAACCCCTCCTCACCCTCAATTATTTTCAAGATGTTAATTAGTTTTTCAAGCTCAAGAAGATTAACTATTACTTGTTCAAGAGCTGCACATACCTCTGAAGAGAAGATGGATAAATCCAAGCTCATCCCTGAGAAAGCCTGGAGTTAGTTGAGCACACTGTGTGTCCAAGCTCAATTATCAGACTTTGTGGCTCCTGTACCTCATGTTGCTCGTCGAGCGCACGGCGTGCAAAGCTTTGATTATTCACACACAGGGCTAAATGTGGCAGATTTATCACTGGAAATCTGTGCATTACTTACTGTGAGAGGCAGGCACAGCAGTGCTCAGCAAGCACTGACACCACAGCCCCCAGTCACACTGGGCTGGTTTGAAACCAGCTGTGGCCCCTTCTCATCCAACTCCCTGC